CGCTCGTAGGCAAGTATCGGGGCCGGCTTTTTTGCAGTTATGCGCAAACAGATACGCTGTAGATCACTAGTGCACCCTCTCCTTCGACGCAGTCGACGTACATTCATCCATCTAGTGCTACTAGAGACTATACATACCTCGGTATCGGCAACACTATCCTCGCACATACATACTTCTTTTCATCCTCATATCCATACATATTCATATACACACATCCTCAAATAGCATACACATCTATATATATATACACATATACTTGATATATATATACATATATATACATACATATATCTAGAGATATATGTCTTATGTATATATATTTATATATAGACATATATAGACATAGAGATATATCTATACATACACCCATACACACATACACATATATATATATACATACATATATACACATATATATAGAGATATATACACACATATATATATATGTTATATATGGGTCTAGGTGGGGGTAGGTGACAACACAGGACTTGGGGGGTCATGGCGCAGTGGGCTGCAGGCGGGCCGTTGGTTGGTGGAATGGCTGGGACAGGCGGGACAAGCATGGCCAAGGTGGGCTTCCACCGGACAGGGCTTAGGCTGGAGGCGCGAGGAGGGAGTGCGGACGAGCATGGCAGCAGGCGGCGGGTGGGCGGAGACGGAGGCCATGGAGATGCCGAGGCACGGAGAGACGGCGAGATGGAGGCACGGAGAGACGGCGAGACGGAGGCGCGGGGCTGGCCAGAGGATGGAGCAGCAGAGAGCGAGGATGAGGGCAAGGTCGAGGAGGAGGTGGTCGGAGTGGGGGTGTTGGCGAGGCAGGAGCTGCCGCGGTATGCGCAGACCACACCGCAGCTGGTGGATGCGTGGATGACGGGCTCGATGTGGACCTCGTTTGCCACGCCCGAGACAGGCTGGTATGGGTACATGCTGCTGGGCGCCACAGCTGTTGGATTTGTCGTGGCCATCTACATCATCGTCCTCTCCAAGTTCATGCCGGTCACCGGATCGCCGCTCGTCGACTACATCTCGCAGGACCACTACTACTCGGTCCTCATCCCCTACCTTGCGCCCGTCGCCCTCGTCTACGTCTACTTTTCATGGCTCTCGTTCAAGTTCTACCGGCATAACTAGCCACCGCCGCTCCGATGTGGACGCCGCGCGCTTTACTCCTTCTTGGCCTTGCTGCTGCTCTTGGCGCCATCGCCACCCTCTGCCACGTGCTTCTTGTGCGCCGCGTCGAGCTCGATCAGCAACCTGCGCCCACGCGCTCTGTGAGTCTGTGTATGTGTTCGGAGTGTGGCGGGAGGGATCTCTGACGACGTACCAGTTGATCAGAGCGATGAGGACGACGGTCATGGCGAGCATGACAGCCAGATGGATGTTGAAGCCACGGATGAGCAGCAGCGAGGCGAGAACCACAAGGAGAGTGATAAAGACAACGTTCATCAGTGTGATGACCGTCGACGGTGTGCCCGGGCTGAACATCGAGTTGACCACGTCCGATGCCACATACCCGCTCGACTCGGTCACCACAGGCCCATGCAGCGCCTCGTGTGCCAACTCATCCTTTCGCTCAACTCCACCGCTCATGGATGTATTTGTGCTGCAGACGTGTGTGTATGTGTGTGGGGGGGTGGGTGGGGGTGGGTGGGTGGGTGGGTGGGCGGGTGTGTTGTCACAAGGCCGACGGGGCGGCTCTCGGCCGACAGCGAGACGACGACCCGTGCATGACTCGGACCCGGCCTGATGCTGATGCTGATGCTGATGCTCATGGTGTGACTTGACGATGATGTGTATGGCGGATATTTGTGATTTGGTGTAGAGTTGAGTATGCATCGGTTGGTGTGGTCGCAGTGTGGTGATCGGGACCTATCGTGCGAGCATAGTATGCTTGGGTCGGTCGGTGGTCCCTCTCGCCTGGCCGTGGCGGGCGTCGGCTGTCAGCTCTAGTCAAACCAGGAGGTGACAGACGTACTCATCTCCCACCGCGCGCCATTCTTCGCATAGTTCGACTCTGCAGAGCGGGCTTCTCAACCAGAGGGATCATGACAAGCATAGCGCCGGCGAGTGCTCCGCTGTTTGGTACGGACTGCCGTGGTTGCGGCGTGTGTGAGAGAGGGAGGGAGAGTGTGTGTAGACGCAGACTCATGGCACAAGATACGATGGTGGCCACGACGGGCGGCCGTGGCTGGTGGGTGACATAGACATCGCTTGCAATCTGACGGCCGGTATGTATCAGGGTGTATATCGGGGGACATTCAAGCATGAGCCGGATTTGGACGAGGTGTTGGCTCGGGCGGATGCTGCGGGTGTCCGCGCCATCATGATCACCGGCACCGACGTCGTCGAGTCAACCAAAGCTGTGGATATGGTGGCCCGGGGCGGAGGTAGTGCGGAAGATGGCCGGCCTGAACTCTATGCCACGGTTGGAGTGCATCCGACGCGGGCTGGTGTGTTTGATGATGACGGCGAGGGCGCCGTCGTTGAGCGCCTGCGGACGCTCGTTGTCCGCGGTGGCGACAAAGTCCTCGCCGTGGGCGAGACCGGCATCGATCACAACAGAGCCCACTTTTGTCCCCTCGAGGTGCAGGCCAAGTACTTTGAGACCCAGATCCAGCTTGCCCGCGAGCTCGACAAACCGCTCTTCCTCCACTATCGCAACGACGATGCAGAGCCGGACTCGCCGTTCTTCTCCATCCTCGCCGCCCACGCCGGCGCCATTCGCGGTGTCGTCCACTCGTTCACTGGCTCGCCCAGTGAGATCGAGACCATTGTTGGCCTCGGCCTCTATGTCGGTATCAATGGCTGCTCGCTCCGAACCGAAGCCAACTGTGATGCTGTCCGCACCATCCCGCTCGAACGGCTGCTGCTCGAGACCGACGCGCCGTGGTGCGACATTCGGCGGACACACCACGGGTACAGCCATGTTGTCACTCACTTTGAAGGCGCCAAGAAGGCTAAGGCCTTTGTCCGCGGCTCGATGGTCAAGTCGCGCAACGAGCCGGCCACCATGCGCCAGGTCCTCGAGGTTGTCTACGGCCTGCGCGCAGCTGTCGACAACCTCGAGTCGATCGACGCTTTTGCCGCCATCATCTACGCCAACTCGGAACGTTTGCTTCTGGGTCGGCCGTGAGTTGCTCGGGCCTGTTGTGCTCGTCACGTGTACGCTGCCAGATACTCGTCTATCGAGTCGAGCAGAAGCGTGTCGTCGACGGTGAGCCCAAACTCGTCATCGCCGATGTCGCCGGCTTCATTCCCGCCGTCATCGGACACAACAGACGCGTTTGAGCTCTCGGCATCGCTCCAGTTGTCGTTGTGGCTGTGGATTGGGGATGTTCGTGCGTCGTTCCACCGCCACCCCTGCTTTCCAACCAGCATCGACGAGACAAAACCCGGTGCATCATCCCAGCGCGCAGACTCGTTGCCATCGCGTTGGTCCGCAATCGAGTCTGCGCTCGATGTTATCGAAGCCTCCGGCGAGTAAATAGCAGGTACCGGACGTCGCGGCGACGGTGATGGCTGCGGTGCAACGGCCTGGCGAGGTGGTGGAGGTGGCGCAAAGTACTCGACAGGTGACGACACGGCAGGCGCTACCCGGCGTGGGACAGCCCGGCGCGGGACAACCCGGCGAGCAGCCGCACGTGGTGGCGGCGTCTCTGGTCGCACCGCAAGGTCCGGTGAGGCAGACGCCAATCGTGCAACGTCGTCGACGACAACGGCGTCAATGGCAGCAGACGCATCAAAGCTGCGGCTGCTACTGACGTCGTCGCATTCGCCATCATCGCTGCGAGTGCTCGATGGGAGATCCTCAACACCGCGGCGAAGCGGCGAGAATAGCTCGCATGGTTCGCGCGACGGCGAGCGCAACGATGTCATGTCCAGATCATCTGCGGCTGGCAGAGCCTCCACATACGGCCTGTCGTTGCATGTGCGCGAGGCGACTGCAGCTGCGCGAGCACCAATGGCCACCGATCGTCCTCTTCGGCCTTTGCCGCGACCTCGACCGCGACCACGTCCACGTCCACGTCCACGTCCGAGGCCACGCCCCGGCCGCCGGGTCTCCTGAGCAAACCGCGCAATACGAGCATCGCGTTGAGCCCAGCGCTTGCGGGCATTGTGCTCGGCCTCGGCCCGTGCTGCGGCTTCCTTCATCTTTCGCTCGCGGATGCGCTGCAGTGCCCGAGCTTGGGCAGTCGACGGATCGAACCGCGACTTGCGCGGCCGATGCGGCTTTAGCGGCGAGCTTGCCCGCGGCTCCTGTCGCCGGCGCGCCTCGCGCTTGAGCTTGGGCGAGACGTAGACTGCATCATCGACAGTAAAGGCCACGCCGCCTCGCGAGGTACTGAGCGCCACAGACTGAGCAGCTCGGCGCGACAGCTCCTCAAGTCGCTTCTGGCGTGCTCGCTCCTCCGCCACTGCGGCGCTCGCCTCAACTTCGACCTCGACAGACGCGGCACGGCTCCGCTCACGAACTCGCGCCGCTGCCGCCTCAACCGCGGCCTCGGCTTGGGCGTCGGACCGCGCCCGTGTCTCTTGGGACGACTTGTTGGCCTGGGCAAGCTCCGCCTCGCGAGCTGTGACCTGGCGCTGCAGCACCCGGTCGCGCGCGCGCAGGACGCCTTCAGGAACACGGACTACTGGTGGTGGTGGCGAAGGATGGCGAAGAACCGGTCCAGGGCTAGTATGCCGGTCGCGGGCAGAACGTCGCGGTGCAAAGAACGTAATACTCGCCTCGAGATCTGAACCTGCCGGTACAGGGCGTGGCAGAGCTATCGCTGGGCCAGGTGATGGCTCAGGAGACGGAAGCTGCGGCGATGCCGGCGGCGACGGCTTATCAACTGTCACCGCAAACGTCGTTGGCGACGAGGCGCCTCGCGGGGAAGGAAGTGCGTCAAGATCAAAAGGTAGACGGGTAGGCACCAAGGGTGATGGCGGCGCCCGTGTCGCAGTCGAGGATGCGTGCTGAGTAGGTGCTGGCTCGGGCGCCGACGGTGATGCCAAGCCGGATGCAGGTGCCGCCAGCTCACGCAGCTGGGCTTTCGCGGCATGCCGGACGCTTGCAGCTGCTGTGTGGACTTGGGCTGCGTGGTGCATGACGCTGCCTCCGCCAGAAGATTCTTCATCAGACGAAGAGGAGACGGGCGCGTGATGGTACGGCGTGGCACGACGCGCCGGGGACCACACATGAGGGCTCTGCTCGAGTAGCGAGAGCGACAACCCCGTGCCCGAGCCCACGCCTGGAGTTGCCGGTGTGGCGGCATCACCACAAAGAGCAGGATCTGGTGCAGACGGCGCGGATGTGGCTGCCAGTGGTGTGGCAGCTGCAACATCGAGGATGATGCTCGGCTCGACAGCAACCGATGCTGATGCGGCAGTGATGGCGGAGGCGGTGTACGAGGCCGAGGCCGATGCGTACTCGCTCCATGTGTACTCATCGCAGCTTTGGCTGTCGTTTTGGTTGTCACCATCATCGCCGTCCGAGCAGCTGCTGTAGGTAGAATAGCTCTCGGTCTCGCATGCGGCATTCAGCATGGCGCGTGCTGAGGCCCGGAGCGCGGCAAAGCGATCGACTTCGGACGCAGTGTCGCAGATCTCGTCGTCCGAGGTGCTTGCAGCGGTGGCTTCAGAGGCGTCTCTAGCGTCGATGACGTCTTCGAGCTGGGGGCGTTTTCACCGAGTAAGCCCATGCACGCAAGCAGACACGGATAAAGGCGCGGATGGATGTGATCAGCTACGTTGTGGAGGACCACAAACCGCGAGGCGAGGTAGGTGAGGCAGTACTCGACCAAGGACTTGGCAAGAAGCACATGAGCTAGGGCTAATACATCGTACACAAGGTCGTGGGGAACAAGCAGGTCATCGGCCCCGACGCTGCGGCGCATGACCTCGCTCGCAGCGGCGATGCCGTTGTCCTGCGCACCGACTGCGAGTTGGCGCAGAACAGCCAGCGCGTGCATCGACTGTGGGAGCTTGCTCTTGGAGTCGCCCAGTGCTGGCATTAGCGAGCCATCGTCGAGGCGAGCGGCAACATCGTCTGGCACGCAGCCCTCAATCCGCTCCAGCAGACGCGCATACCGTGCCTGAGCATGGGCGAGATGGAGGGGAACCGAACCCTCGCATGTTCCTGTCAGGATGTCCAGCACTGCCATCCGCAAGTCGTCAATGTCGACCACCAGATCTGCGTCATTGCCGCCTTGCCCGCCTCTGGCGGACCGCCTCATCGAGCTCCGCAGTGCAGCACGCAGATCGTCAAACTCGGTGCCGTCCAGATCGACGGCAGCGCGCAAGCCGGCCTCCACCACGCCCGGGTCGAGCGCGGCGAGGTAGTGCGTCACCGATGGATGGTCCTTCGGTGGCGCAATAGCCCTGACGTCCCTCGCCGTCAGCGCAGGTGCGCCGGCCGCTGTGGGTGATCTGGCATGAGCGCGAGCGAGGATAGGGGAGGCGTCGAGCAGCGGACGGAGCGGTAGTGGGGCGAGGGCCACAAGCGGCGGGGCGTGCGAGGGGCGACTCTCTACAGCAACTCGGACAGAGACCAGGTGTGGAGCATTATAAACAGCTTCTAGGAACAGCCCGCTGTTGCCCATGCAGCCTGGGTGCGGTGGCGGTGGAGTGGGGGTGAGGTGGGTATCGGCATTGGCGCCACCGGCAACGGACAGCGGTCAGCAGTCGGCAGACTACATTCATTGGTGATTGTCACTCGAGCCGGCATGTGGATCAGCGTCAGAGGCTGAAGCTGAAGTTGAGGCTGATGTCAAAGAGGACGAGGAATCCGATGCCGATGTGGCGGATGTCGAGGAGAAGGAAACAGCCGTGGGAGCTCGTGGCGGTGCGACGGTAGGCACCACCACTGCAGACTTTGGCGACAGCTCACAAGCTGAGCTTGTGGATTCGGCCTCAGGTTCGGACTCGGCCTCGGACTCGGCTTCGGCCTGGGGTGTGGGCTCGAGCGCAGGCTCGGCTTCGGCCTGGGGTTTGGGCTCGGTTTCGGGCGTAAGATTAGCCTCGGGTGAAGCATCAGCCTCGGGCGCAGGATCAGCCTCGGGTGCAGGATCAGCCTCGGGCGCAGGATCAGCCTTGGGCGCAGGATCAGCCTCGGGCGCAGGATCAGCCTCGGATGAAGCATCAGCCTCGGGCGCAGGATCAGCCTCGGGTGCAGGATCAGCCTCGGGCGCAGGATCAGCCTCGGGTGAAGCATCAGCCTCGGGCGCAGGATCAGCCTCGGGTGAAGCATCAGCCTTGGGCGCAGGATCAGCCTCGGGTGAAGCATCAGCCTCGGGCGCAGGATCAGCCTCGGGCGCAGGATCAGCCTCGGGCACAGGATCAGCCTCGGGTGAAGCATCAGCCTCGGGCGCAGGATCAGCCTCGGGCGCAGGATCAGCCTCGGGTGCAGGATCAGCCTCGGGCGCAGGATCAGCCTCGGGTAAAGTATCGACTTCGGCCACGGTCTCGAGCACCGGGGGCTTGGACTTGGCCTCGGCTTCGGCCTCGTCGGCACCGCTACTGGCAGAGGCGGTCGAAGCGCGTGACCGGGTACGCTCCCGCGATGCCTTGAGTCTCTGGAGGTCCGAGGCGGCAAACGAGCCGTGCCGTGATCTGCGCAGGCCCGGCTTGGAGCCGGCAATGTCAATCGACGACCGCTCCTTGATGGCTGAGCGAATCGACGGGTGGATGAGCTGCGGCTTGTCGACGGCGACATAGTAGTCGACCGAGGCCTCACGCGAGATGGAGAGTTGGGCGTGAAAGGCGGCGATGGCTGCCTCGAGGTCGACCGTCGCCACCGCATCCTTGCAGTTGGCGACCAGCGTGACCTGGACCACCGAGGTGCCAGCCTCAAAGAAGACCTCGGACTGAGTCGGAGCATTGATCTGCTTGGAGAGCGCAAGCGACTTTTCAGCCGACGAGAGCGGAACGGTGACGGCCGAACCGGCGGCAGCCTGGTTCAGCACCGACATCCAAAGCGACTGTTGGTCGGCCGAAGGCGCCCGAAAGTAGAGGTTGCGCTCGTCTACCGAGAGGAGCCGGAACCCATAGTTCTCCTCCAGATCAAGCTCGATGGTGTACTCGCGGAGCATGATCGAGTCCGCGCACTCGGAATCCTTGGTTGTCTTGTACGAGAGCAGCATGCCGCCGGCAAGCACAAAGAAACGCCGCTTGTATTTGCGGCTGCTCTCGGACTCGCAGACGTCGAGATGGCCGGAAAAGTCGAACGCAAGCTGGACATGCTCCGCCACCGATCGCACCTCGTGCGGAAGCTCAAGCTTGACCGCTTCGCGCAGCGTCGCCATCCACTCGGCAGTGCTTGCCTCCGAATCCACGTAAAACAAGTGGCGCACGCCCGACTTGGAGATCTTGAACGCAAACTTCTTGCCAGACTCAACCTCCTCCGAAGTGAGGACCACCCAACCCGAGAGCAGAATCGCCGTCTCGGGCTTAGCATCGCTCTCTTTCTTGTAAAGGTACAGCATCGAGTCCATGACCACCGCAAATCGCTTCTTCCACGACCGCTTATTGTACGGCGAGCGGTGGATCCAGCCGTGCATCTGCGCCGACATCGACAGCGCTGCCGCAGGCGGCAGATACGGCACCAGCTCGTCGCCTACGGTCATCGGCAGTGTCTCTTGCCCGCTTCCTGCAGCCAAATCGCTCCCAGCTGAGACTGCGGCGGCCGCGGCTATGGCCACGTCCTCAGCGCGCAAGCCGCCAATCCCCTCCCAGCCATCCGGTGGCGACGCGCCGTTGGCCACAAAGACGGAGGCCCACGAGACCCGCTCCGCCTGCGAGTCCATCCGCAACAGAGTCTCTTCGCCGGCCCCTACATTAGTAAGGGCGAGTCTAAACTGACCAGGATGATCATCCACATACACAAACGAGCCACTCGAGATGGTCCTTGTCTCTTTGGGCGACTTTGACGACTCTTTGGTGAAGAACTTGACCACACCTCCGTCGACCGTAGCCCACCACCGCTTCCACTTGCTCAGCCCACCGCCCTATTTAGACACCATCACACCCCACACGGGTATTCCCATGAGTCACATACACTTCATCTCTGTGCCCCCTCCCGCCCCATTCCCCGCCCACCCGGCCAGCCCGCCAGCTCCGCCAAGTCCCGCCAGCTCCCCCCCCCCCACCCCCACCACCCCCCCCACCACCACCACCACCACCAATAACCACTGCCATACCTTCTTGTCAAGCCATCCCACCTTGACGTGGGCTGTGGACATGGCAGCTGTTCTGAGTCGGGTGCAACCGCGTCGCCCTTGTTGCTCTACTTTGCCAGGTGCGGCGGCGGCAGTTTGGCCAAATTTGCCGATGGCCGAAACGGCCCAATCCGTAGCACACAGCACAGCACATAGGACACATTCGTACATACGGCCACGGGCCAGCAACACGTGTCACATCTGCAGCCACTGCCCTTGAGTTTTGGTTCGCGTTGGACGCATATCAGAGCAGGATGTGCGAGGGAAGCCCCGTTGATGGCACTGATGGGGGTGGTTTTGGGTCTGACAACGATTGCGGACATGGACGCCATCGAAGGGGCGGGCGACGACGGCGGTAAGAAGCACTAGCGGTGCAATGTCGGCCATCGATGCCCATAGCATTGAGCGAAACCAACATCGGCTTTCTTGTCTCTCCACATGCTCCGATCAGAACCCGCCGCCGTGACAGCAGTCACTCGTGCTTGTCAGTTGGCAATGGCTGAGAAAAGAAGATACCAGGAACCAGGACCACAGCCAGACACATATCTCGAGAAGGGAACCAGGATGGGGTCGAGCGGACGCAAACAGAGTAGCAAGAGCGGCAGGGAGTCGAGTAAGGGTGGCAGGGCATCGCGCAAGGCGGCAGGAAGTGGAAAGCCCTCGTTCTCGGGTCAGAAGGCCAAGGCTGGCTTCAAGCGCGGAGCGAATAAGTTTGTGGTTGACAGCGACAGTGGCGATGATGACGAGGCTAACGAGGCTGACGAGTACGAGTACGAGTACGAGGATCTCGATGAGGACGATGACGACAACGACGACGATGGATATGATGGTCGTAGCCGGCGCGGGTCACGCAGCCGTGGCAGTCGTCGCTCGGCCTTTGGTCGCGCCTCCTCCCGTAGTGCATCCAGCACTCGCCGTGGATCTGGGGGTGGCCGCTCGCGGGCTGCGAGACGCGGTGACCAGGAGCGTGAGCGTGGGCGTGAGGAAGAAAAGAGCAAGAGCAAGTGCGACGATGACGACTACGATGACGACTATGGGCACAAGCCGCTGGTGTCGAAGAACCGGCTCACATTGTACGCGCTCGTTGTGGTTGTCCTCCTCATCCTCGACCTCATTATGATGGGCTTGCTCATCCACTCGCTGCAGAACGCCGAGGGCTTTTCCTGTTGCGTCCACGCCGATTGCACGATCCGCTTCGATACCATTTTCCGGCGGGTCAAGCCCGACAACGTCAAGGTCGAGAACGGGTGGTGCATGTTTGAGCCGAACGTCCACTCTGATCTCGACGGCTCGTGCCTTGCCAACCAGACCGACGTCTGTGCACAGGCCGACTACTCCAAGATTTGCGTGGAAGACAACTACCCGTTCAACGGAACGTTCATCGGCCTGCCGCGCATGTTTGATGAGCACACCAAGGCGTCGATCGGCCTGGGTGTGACCAAGGTTGTGGTTCTCATCCTCGCAGCCGGCATCACCTTTTACTGGATTGCATTCTGGTGCGGCTGCATCGGCAAGTCAACCAAGGATGTGAGCGACTCGAGCATCGACAGCGAGCGCGGTCGCCGCGCTGGAACTGTCGGCAAGGCCAAGTCCAGGGCCTTGACGATTGCCGAATACTTGCTACTCGTTGCCTCGCTCGTCCTCTCCTTTGTCATCCTCGTCGTCCGCTCGGGCTTTAAGCAAGACTCGCTCTGCGACGTCGTCAAGGACGACGACGTTTACGTCTCGGTCTGCTCCGATGTCAAGACCCTCTGCCCCTCGCTCGGTCAGCTCACCGTCTTCACTAACCAGGATACCGCCACCAGCCTGGCCTCGGTCTCGGTTGTTGCCTCGGTCATCGGCCTGCTGATGAAGCCGGTGCGCTTCTGCCTCAAGCGCCGCATCAACAAGCAGTACAAGCACTGGATCGAGTACGGCTCGTACTACTCGGGCGAGTCCTCATCGTAGTGCTGCAGCGGATGTAAACCACGCCAGTCACTGTGGCAGGTCGGGCGGTTGGGGCGGTCGGGTGAGCAAGGCGTCGGGCGAGCACGGCCTCGGGCGAAATGGAGCGAATGGCACTCCACTCGCTCACTGCCACCGACCATGATTCGCATGTTCTCGCTGAAGAAGGAGGGCCAGAAGTCCCGGGCTCAGGAGGCCGAGAACACTCAGAAGCCTGCGGAGATCCGGATTCAGAAGGGTACCCACTTCCTCCATCTCCCCTCTCCCCCCTCCCCTTCCCTCCCCTGCTGCCCTCTCCCGTTTCTTCCTTCTCTCTCCTGTCCCCCGCGCACACCATGCCCATGCCCGCACCAGCCAGCAAGTGGAAGGTTCGCCACTCGCCAGCCGCCCGCCCCCACCAGCGCCTTGTCCCCTCCCCCCTCCCTCCCCTTCCCATGCAAGTGGATGTACTCACACTAAGGGACATTATATGGGTGTTTGCATGAATGTTTTGTGTACTGTGTGTGTGTGTGTGTGTGTGTGTGTGTGTGTGTGTGTGTGTATTGTGTGTGTGTGTGTGTGTGTGTGCTGTGTGTCTGCTTGCCTCCGGCTCTGTGTGTCGTCGTCGTGGACAATGGCCGAACTTGTCTGGCTCCGGATCCGGGTCGGACTTGGGCGTGAATGTGTACTTGCGTGTGTGTGTGTGTACGCCTGTGTGTGTGCCTGTGTGTGTGCCTGTGTGTGTGCCTGTGTGTTATGTTGTGTGTGCATGCAGATATCTCCGAGTTGGAGCTCTCCGATACCTCGTCGATCGAGTTCCCCAATGGTCCGGACGACCTCATGGTCTTTGATGTCACCCTTCGTCCGGATGAGGGCTTCTGGCAGGGCGCGGCGTTTACGTTCCACTTTGAGATTCCCGAGGGTTATCCGCATGACGTCCCTTCGGTCATATGCACTACCCCTATCTACCATCCCAACATCAACACTGAGGGTAAGATCTGCCTCAACATCCTGCGCGAGGACTGGCGCCCTGTCCTTAACATCAACGCCATCGTCTTTGGCCTCTCGTACATTCTCCTCGACCCCAACCCGGATGATCCGCTCAACATCGAGGCTGCAGAGGTGATGCGCAACAACCCTGCCCAGTTCAAGACCAACGTCGACCGCTCGCTCGCCGGCGGTGTCGTCGACGGCGTCCGCTACCAGCCGAACCAGGCCTAGCCGGCCGACTTCACGCGCCGATGCAAGTCTCTCCCTCCGTAAACGCAATTAGAGGCTGGGACGCATCCATCCGCCGGTTGCCGCCTCCAGTGCCGCCGCCACTTGCAGGAGCAGCACCTCGCTCCCGCGCGCGCCAACAACCTGGACCCCGAGCGGGAGTCTGCTCTCGTGGTCGATGCCCATCGGGACCTGGACCACTGGGAGCTTGAGCACGTTAAACAGCGCAGTGAAGACCCAGTCGAGCGGCGCAAACAGCGTCGTCTTGTGTCGCGGCGCGGGATACGGGAACGACGGGAAGAGCAGAACGCTCGCGTCATGTGCCTCGCTGCTTGCACTCAACTCGGCGTTGAGTTCGGCGCCGAGCTCATCAGCAAGCGCCGCTGACCGTTGGGTGCGACCTGGCATCAGCTGCCCAATGTCTTCCAGAAGCGCAAGCAAGAGCGCGGGAAAGGTGTGCAGCGAGGCGCCAAGAACGCACTCGGCAAGGTGGCCGATCACCCACTCGTGGTCCGGGATGCCGATGTGGCTCTTGAACGGGACACGACGCGCCAGGGCAAGTTTGGCTGACCACATGTCAAAGGCCTTGCCAAACGCCGGATACTCGCGCGCCTCGAGGCTCGCGCCGGCCGCCTGCAGCACGCCGGCTGCCCGCGCGAGCGCGCCAATCATCGCGGGCTGGACGCGAGTCACGGCCAACGGGACATCGCACGGATGCGTGAGGCAGGTCAGTACCCGGAGGCGCCTTGCATCAAAAGCCGGCAGCTGTCGCGGCAGTGGCGGCAGCTCTTCCACTGCTGACCACTCGTTCCACAGTGGGCCGTTGGGTGCGGCGGCGGCGGCGGTGGCGGCGGTTGGTGACGACATGACCCGCAGCAGTGGGAGCAGATCGGCAGCCCGCCGCGCCACTGGGCCGGTCGAGAGAATGTGCTGGATCTCGCCTTCGCCGAGCGGATACTGGCCGAGATTGGGCACTCTGCCTGGACTCGGCTTGAGGCCAAAGACACCGTTGAAGAACGCTGGCATTCGGGTCGAGCCACCGACGTCTGAGGTGACCCCGCCGAGACTTGCGCCGGCGCCGACCAGCGCGGCCTCCCCGCCCGAAGACCCACCACATGTCCGCGACAGATCATACGGATTGCAAGTTGTGCCGTAGACACTGTTGTGGGACTCAAACCACATGCAGGCCTCGGACACGTTGGTCACGCCCATGATGACAAAGCCTGCAGCCTTGAGCGCGGTGACAACCGGCGCGTCGCCACCAGGCGGCACCCGTACGCCAGTCCGGGCCGCCACGCCGGATGTGTTCGGCATGCCGGCTACGGCAAAGCACTCTTTGACAGTGATAGGCACGCCGGCATACTCGCCGACCTCCTTGCCGGCCTCCAGCGCAGCATCAATGGCAGAAGCCTCTACGCGGGCTTGGTCGAACCGATCTGCGACGAGAGCGTTGAGCGGAGCGGCGGCCACCATGGCGGCGATGTACGCCTCGAGTGTGGCGGAGGCAGAGACATGCGCATGCTGTGGCGATCGATCGGCAATGGCCCGCGCCAGACTCTCAATGTCCATGCCCATGATGGCAGCAGCGTGCGGATGCGGGTGTGTGGGCAGGACGACCGCCCGCAGCTCGGTCGGCGCCCCTTCCCACCACCGCCTGCCTACAGCCAGGCTTGCCGAGACCGCTCTCGCCAGGGCACGCGGGACGAGGATGCAGACGAGATAGGCCAGCCAGGTGAGGCGGGTAGCGGTTGTGTGGATCCACGGAGGCATGGAAGGCGGGGGAAGAGGAGTGGCGCACGACCAGGTTGGCTGGGGGGGAAGATGGACTGCGATTGCTTCACTTGATGGTTCACTCGGCTCGCCACTCGGGTCACCGGATGAAGACGTGGTTGGCACGGCAGGGAGGGGGGGGGGGGGGGGGGGCTGTTGGCTCCGGGCTTAGAACAGGACCGAGGGCTCGTCCGAGGGGCCGGCGACGGGGACGATGTCGACCGAATGGCGGCCGGGCGGTGCGTCGGGGTCCGGGTCTGCGGTGGGGTCGTCGATGGTGACGGCCTCCATAGGATCCAGCAAATCCTCGATGGGGATGTCTTCGAGCTCGTCCGAGGCGTCGTCGTCGTCGTCGTCTGCGGGGTCCATGGGCGCAGCGCCCGAGGCTCGGAGCTCGCGCTCGCGGAGGATCTCGGCATAGTCGTCGGCGCGGTAGAGGTTGATCTCTGCGCGAAGCTCAGGGTCCTCCTCGATGTCGCGGAGGAAGACCTCGCGATCGCGCTCGGCCTGTTCGGCCTCTGTGCGGAGGCGGCGGGAGGCAGCGGCCGACTTGCGCTTGCCAGCCGTGTTGGGCTCCTCGTGGTAGGAGATCTTGGCCAGCTCCTGGAGCTTCCAGGTGCGGCGCTTGCGCTTGCGGCGGGTGTGGCGGTATGACTTGCGGACGAGGACGATCTCGGGCAGCGAGGAGGCGTCGAGCTTGTCAAAGTTGACGTCGTTAAAGTTCGAGTTGACGAGGTCGTAGCCGAGCACGTGGTCGCCGGCCTGCAGGAGGTGACCGAGGTGGGTGGTGACGTTAAAGGTGATGTCATTGACGCCAAAGTCGGAGATGCGCGAGACCTGGGCGTCGGCAAGCGAGAACTTGGAGCCGGCCTCGGCCTCCGAGTAGTCGAGCGGCTCGATGTCGAGGACGATAAACTCGGTGAGGTCGGAGCGGGTGGCAAGCGAGCGGAACGGGGTCTTCCAGAAGGCAACCGAGGTGATCTCCTCGTGCTGAGCGGTGAGCGGGTCGACGATGTGAAGGACCGAGGCGACCTTGGAGCAGAGGACGAGCGGCGTAATGTTGCCATGACGGGCGGCGGTCTTGCGCGGGAGGGCGACGAGGTCGTCACGGCAGATGGGCACGATCTCGACAGCGACGGTGAACTTGTACTTGTACGTGTTGTTCGAGTCGTCCTGCGAGATGAGCTTCTTGGCCATAGTGGTGCGGACCGGGACGCGGGCGGAGAGGAACTCGACGAGCTTGGTGCCGGCCGACTGGGTCTTGTAGTAAAAGTCGAGGCCGTCCGGGTACTCCTTGATGCCGACGGTGTTGAGGTGGATCTTGTGCTTGAGGATGAGCTGCTCGAGCTGGAGGAAGGTCCGCTTGTGGGCGACCTTTTGGCGGACCTGGACCGAGGTTGTCCACGATTGCTCGGCCTCCATGGCGTGGCAGTCGTTACAGAACTGGTTCTGCACCACATACACGACCTCAAAGGTCTGCTGGAGGATGGCACCGTTGAAGACCTCCTTCTGAATGGTCAGCTGCACACGGAGGCGCTTCGAGTGCGGCTCGGTCCAGATGAAGCCAGCATCGACCAGCTTGACCTTGGAGAGGCCCTTGAGCGAGCGGAGGCAGAGCGCGAGGAGCTCGCGTGACTCGAGCTCGGCAAAGACCCAGCGGTCGGGCGGAGCGAGGTACCGCTCACATCCCTTGCACCAAAAGATGAACGATGACTTGCACACGCCTTCGGAGATGTCGACCTTTGTCCGCAAGCACGTCACGCACATGTTGGCGGGGTTGGGCGGAATCGATGCTCCGCACAAGCAGCATCCGATGGTGGCCACCGTGTTGGTGGGGAGAATGTCCATGGAGCCTCCGGGCACTTGGTGGGCCATGGTCTCTGGGCTGCGGGTGTGAGGGGGGGGGAGGGTTCAGGGATACACCCGGTTATGAATATGATAGGGAGTGGGGGGAGGGGGGAGGGGGGAGGAGTGTGGACCTTGTGCGTGGAGGCCACGGGCGTGAGGTGCGTGTGGTGGAGGAAGCCGAGATGAGATGGATGGGCTAGGATGGTAGAGTGTTCGTCAGCTGGGCGAATGGCCGAATGCCTTCCAATGACATCGGAAGGTGCACAGGTGATGGCGACAGCAGATGGTCTTGCAGCCATGGCCGAGGAGGGGGATTGTTATGTTGAAGGGATGGTTATGGGGGTATGGGGAGGGGGGGAGGGGAGGAGCGACTAGGCGACTGAGGCAAGGGCGATTGGGGCGTGGGCGACTGATGGGATGGCGACCGATGGGATGGCGACCGACGCGACCAGGCGACCGACGCGACCGACGCGACCGACGCGACCGACGCGACCGACGCGACCGAGGCGCAAGGGCGAGGGTGGATGGCGGCAGGCGATAGGCGGTGGGCGACATTGGGAGGTGGGGGTGGGGGCGAGGGGTCAGGCAGCAATTCGCGAGAGAGCGGCGAGCTGCTGCAAGGCGGCAAACGGACGCGACGAGATGATGGCAGTGACCGGGAGCGAGCTCAGTGCCTTCTCCGTGGTGGATGCCGAGGTTGTATAAAGCCAGAGCTCGGTGGCTGTGTTGTGGAGCGCGGTGGCGGTGTCGGCGTTGATGGTTCGGGACGAGGCCATCAGTGCGTCAAAGGAGATAGTGTCGGACGCTGACGGCGCGTCGCGGACCCGCGCATTGACTGCAACAGCAGCAGCAACCTGGTCTCGTGCCTCGGCCCACCATGCGTCCTCGGCCGCATCGGATGGATACGCGTCGGCAAAGGTGTTCGGCTGGGGATGATGGTGCGAAGGGCCAAAGAGGACAAAGGTGGCGGCGTGCTCGGCAAGGAGCGACTCGGTGTCGAGCACCAAGCCGGCTGAGCACATTACCTGCTCGCACACAGTCTCCATCGTCATCTTGGTGGTCGCAAGCTGAGGCAGGACGTAGCTGCGGACAGCCTCGTCGAGCACCCATCGCAGATCCACCACCAGCTGCAGCCGTTTCACCCTTCCCTCACCCAGTATCCGAGTCATCTCATCGAGGGCCTGCTCCAGAACACGCTCCTCTCTCCACACCTCAGCCGCAAATCGGAGGGCCAGGGCGCCATGCGACTTGCTCTCCTCCATCAGTTCGATCACCATCTCCAACGAGAGCGAGTGCTCATTCTGTGAGACCACAACGAGATGCGACGACGATGATGATGATGATGATGACGATGATGACGGCAATGACGAGATCAATGTGCTGGTGCCCAGGCCAGATAGACTGCAATCGACGAGCAAGGCATGCAGCGGAAGAGAGCAGGCGTGGCGGAACGAGTTGTGCGAGGCAAGTGGGGCAGCGGCTCCGTCGCCACCGAGAGCCACCACTCCCACGGGCCCCGTGGTGGAGAATGGGTGGACCGAGTCGGCAGCCAGAGGCGCCACCAGGATGGGGTACAGCCGAAACAGCATGTAGAGCATGAAGAAGAGGAACACTCGTCGCCGTGCGGGCGGCTCACCCCCCAGCATGATCCGAGTGGAGTGTGTGTCGCTCTGGGCGCCGTGACAGGCTACCAAAGTTGAAGGGGGGAAGGGGTGAAAGTGGATCCGATCGGAGGATCAAGGCCGGTAGATGGGGGTGTTTGGGGAAGGGAGGCGGTGAGATGAGGGAGGCGGGCTAATACGTGGAGGTGGAGCGGAGAGGGGTGGGGTGGGGAAGGCTGGGAAGGGAGGAGGCGGGCAAGTGCCGGGTGATCTTGCAAGATCAACAAAGTGGACGACGGACGAGGTGAGAGGTGCGGCCGGAACTGGCGCCGGATGATCGGGTGATGTTTACTATGTCACCAACTTTGCTCTTTCTTTTGCTCCGAAATGGCATGGGGTGGGGGGGGGGGGAGAGGCGGCGAGAGGAGGTGCCAAGATCAGCAAAGGGGACAATACGATGGCGGCGGTGATGTTCACTACGGCTGTGTGATGGCGGGCGCTATGTCTTCTTGCGGCGTTTCCGGCGCTTCTTCTTGGGTTTGGGTAGAGCGGCCGGAGCGTAGTCCATAAATGCGGCAAGGGCGCCCGACTCGGCATCGGCGGCAAGGTCGGTGACCAGGTGTGGGCCGATGGCGTCGAGGACCGGCTCGGGCTCGGGGGCAAGCTGGGCGAGGCGGACGAGCCGTGCGACGTCGCCTGAACCTGCGATGTCGATGGCGGACTCGCCGTCGCTGGTGAGGGCGTAGGGGTCAGCGCCACCGTCGAGCAGGGCGGCGGTGATGTCAACGTTGGCCTTGGCGCACGCCCAGTGCAGCGGGAGCCTGCCATGGGGACCAGGAACCTGATCTGGGTTGGCGCCGAGCCGGAGGAGGACCTTGACCACGCCCAGTGCGCCGGCCTTGGTAGCCAGCAGCAGCGGTGATGTCTCTCCCGGTGCATGGTCGCCCGAGGTTCGCATCAGCGCGGTGCCGCGGACAGCCGTGACCGGTCGGGGAGCCTGTGACGCACCCGCCGCCGGCGCATCGTCACCGATAAGCGCATCGCTTCCGTCTTGCGGATCCGACACAACCGGTGGATCTTGATCATCCGTTGCCTTGGCGCAAACAGGCTCTGCAGCGACAAGAGCAAAGGGAGGTGGGGCGATGAGAGCCTCGACGACAGCAGTCTGACCAGCAGCAGCGGCGGCATCGAGGACGTTGCGACCGCGAGCATCCTTCCGATACAAATCTGCGCCGGCACGAGCCAGAGCCAGAACAACCGGCACATGTCCTCTCTCTGCAGCAGTGTGCGCAGCCGTTGTCCCACCCGCATCAACCGCATTGAGATCCAGATTGCCGGCATTGGCCTTGCGGAGTAACGGCTTCAGCCGGCGGACCACCCCGGACCGGGCCACCTTGCGCAGCCTCCGTTCACCGGCTTTGGTCATGGCCAAGGGAGAGAGGGTGTGCGAGAGGGAGAGGGAGATGGAGTGGCGAGTGGTGTGGCGTGGAGTGGGCTGGTCATCCCCCTGGTGCTGGGGTCATAGGCAGGCGGAGCAGGGCACAGTCAACAGCCAGCACCGGTCACTGGCACCGGCCACCAGTCACTGGCACTGGCCATGGCCACCGATCAGACTGCTAAATCATCACGATGGCGTCATGGACAGTGACTCTCTTTGCACCATCAAGCTAATACTCCTTGTATCTACCTCCCCCCCTCCCCTTCCCATCCCCCCCCCCCCCCCACCACCAATCGGCTGTGTCTTGCTCAGGAGGGTGCGTGAAGGGCGGCGGCTGACCAACTACGCCAGGGGCAACCATTCGTCACGGCCACTGCCACGGCCACAGCCACCGCACAGCACGACCCCCCCCCCCTCCCCCCCTCTCCCTTCCCTCCCCCCCCCTGCGGTACCACCCACACTTCACCCACGCCCCACCACTACCACCTTAGTCTTGCTTGGTAGAACAGTCTGCATAGTATGGGCGAGCTGCAGGAAGAGGTGACCAAGCTGCAGCAGCTGCTGGCTAATGCCCATGCCACGGCCGAGGCCAGCGCGTCGGTGTACGAGGCCAAGATCAAGGAGCTGAAGGCGGAGATTGATGAGTATGAGGAGCAAGAGATAGAAATGGCTGACACCGTCGAGGCCTTTCAGGCAAAGGCTCTGCGCTTGCAGAAGGAGAACAAGGAGCTGATGGCAAAGGTGGCCGCTCTCGAGGCCGAGGCAAAGTCAGCGGCGGATGCCGAGATTGCGCAACAGGCTCTGCGGGCAGCGGAATCAGAGGCTCGGACGGCCACCAACGAGCGCGATGAGGCTCTGGCAGAGGCCGACGAACTTCGTGATGAGGTTACCAAGCTCAAGGATGAGCTGGCCGCCGCCAAGGCTGCCGCGGCAGATGCCGACGAGCCCGATGCCGCGCCTGTCGACGACGCTGCGCTCGACGAGCTCCGCACCGAGCTCGACGAGGTCCGTGCAGACCTGGAGGCCGCCGAGGAGGCCCGTGACTCGCTGCAGGAGGAGCGCGATCACCTGGCCTCCGAGCTCGCCACAACCGAGCAGAACCTCATCCAGCTCAAGATGGACCATGCCCAGCACGAGTTTGAGAAGGAGGATGCTCTCGTCCGCGCCGCCGAGGCCGAGCGCAAGTACAAGGAGCTCAAGAAGAAGAATAAGGAGCTGCGCAAGGCTGCCAAACAGTAGCTTCACATCTGCTTCCCCAAACCCGGCTCGATGCGCCGAACTCGGCCCGAACACGCTCAATGAACACTCAGCACCTGGCGCTGCTTCCCTTCAATCAGCACCCAAGGGCCACATATCGGGCGCCGGCCAGACTGTATGCCAGTTCGATTGGGAGCGCGAGTTCTGGTGAAGCCAATAACGCTCCGGCCTCGGCCGCCAACGCCACAGTCTCGGCCGCCAGTGTGCTGCGGTCGTGTTGCTGCTGCGGCGCAGGCAAGCCGTACCGCGAGACGTCGCACGTGTAGCTCCGCCCGCTTGGTAGCATCGAGATCTGCAGCCACTGGTGGCGATCGACGTCGTTGCGGACAGCATCGTCGTCAGATCTCAGCGTGTAGCCACGACAGTACGCCACCCGCATGCCGAGCAGGTCGCAGAACGGGAGGAGGAGCGCTGCCATGGCCGAGCTAAGCCCGTGGCAGTGGCCCTGCCCTCCGGTCACCAGCTGCTCCACCCTGTGCGAGGTGTTCCGCCGCCGATCGACCCCATCCTGAAGCCGGCTCATGTCCACCGTCGACCACACCACAAACGGGACAGCCGCCCGAGCCGCATCGTTGATAGCCTCGTCGCCGTCGCAGGAGACCTCGATCTGGATGGCCACGCTCTCCAGCTGAAGCGCCGCGCGGAGCATGATGGCGCGCATGGCCGGCACCGAGTAGTCAGCCGTAATTAAGTCCTCGAAAACGAGCGTCCCATTTGGCTGCCTGCTCAAGTAGCCAGGAACGCCATAGATTGAACCGCGCTCGGCCGCCTCCCGATCAAGCGTCACCTCGGCGTTTCCACCATCGGCTGTCGGGATAGCGACTCGCACGGTTGTCTCATTGGAAGATACAACCGTGCACAGCTGGTTGGTGAACGCCTCGCCGTAGTCGGTCTCAGCATCGTACGCCAGATATGCTCCGGGCGGCTCGACCAGCGGGCGGATGTGCCTCGAGCTGACTGCCAGCCGCGAACCAGGCTCGAGCGACGGCGGCGGAGCGAGGGCGTCGACACCGATCGGTGCACTTGCCCAGACTCCAAGAGCAACAAGCTCAGCCGACGTTGTCTCGCGGTTTGTGCCAATGATCGGAAGCGCCGCAAAGACTGCAGCCGACTCGCGCTTGAGCTGTGGTGCACTCGACCCGATGTGGAGGTGGACAACTGCGCAGATGCGCTCCCCGAGCGAGCCGTCATCGTCCCAGGCCCGCACCATTGCCACCGCATCCTGGATCAGCAACTCGCGAGTCGGTGCAACTGAGAGCGGCAGCGATGCCGGTGGCGCGGTCGACTGTGCTGGAACGGCGACGCCCGAGAGATGTGCGTCGACATGTGCGACAGCAAGCGGCACAAGCTGGTCTGCCACGCACGCATAGTTGCCGCGAGTCTTGCTCGCCTTGTATTGTCCGGCGTGGAAGAAGGAGAGCGAGGCTGATTTCAGCGCGCGATGCAGCGCGACCGCGGTCTTGCGCGGGTGAAAGACGTCGGTGGGGACCCATAGGATAAGGCTTGGCGTCTTGATCTTGAGGTACCGCTTGGTCTCGGTCACCATGGCGTGCATGAGAACGAGCGCCGCCACCCGCCACGGGCGCGACTTGGCCAACTCGAGCGCAATGGCCGCCCCCCAGTCGTAGCCGAGTACCGCAACCGGTGCTGTCCAACCCACGGCGTTGAGGACGGCGACGACGACAGCGAGCGGGCCGCCCGGTGCAGTCACGTCCTCGGAACGGGCCTTGGATCGCGGGCCGGGCGAGCCGCCAAAGCCGGGCATGTTGATGGCGATGACGGCGTAGCCGGCGTCGGCGTACGCCTCGATGCCCCACTTCCAGCTGTCGGCGCTTGCCGTTTTGCCATATCCATGCAGAGCGATAACAAGACCGCGCGACGAGTGCCACTCTTCCGGCGAAGTGGCAATGCAGGCCACAGGTGCACCCCACGGCATGATGACCTCAATGACCCCGCATCCGGCGGCGGCTGACTCGGTCCTGGTCCACGCCAGCGGCTGCGGCGCGATCGTAGCCATGTCGGCCTCACGCATCGCCTCCGCTCTCGCCTGGGCATCGGCAGACTGGCCGGCCGGCACGGCAACGTTGCGAACGCGAGCGATGGCGGCTGCAAATTTGAGGGTGGTGGAGTTGCGGCCGGCGTCAACATCGAGCGGGACAAGAGTGGCGATGAGCGAGGCGCAGGCGTTGCCGCCGAGCGCGGTCCGTAAGAGCATCGTCAGCCGCGAGTCGCGGTACGGCACGTGCTTCCTCTTCTCCACAAGCGCCAGAACGACTCTGACGAGCGCGTCGAGCGATCGACCGATGGCTTTGGACTCGGCAAGATGGACTGGGCCGGCGATGCGGGCGTCGTGGACGTTTTCGGCGCCGGCAAGATCGACGAGGTGCAGCGATGCCGAGGTGCCGTCGGCCTGGGTGAGAGTGAGAGAGATAAAGAGAGTCGATCGCGACGATGCTGCTGACATGTACGTCATCCACACTGTTCTGTTGTGGAGGACTCTGGCCATGGCGGCGTCAAACGCGGCCTCGTCGGGCACCTCGACAACGGTTGCGCCCTCAGCCACGCCACGCCAACCAGCGCGCTGGTCGGTTATCGACTCGCACGGTCTCGCCCGCACCTTAAGCTTAGTCCGATCTTTGGACAGCATGTCTTGGACACGGCCGCAATACAGATCGTACGCCGAGAGGTGCATGGTGTCGCCGTTGGCCAGCGCGTTGAGCCCGGCGCGGGCCGCCCTCCACATCACGCCGCGGTCGGACTCGGGTCCAATCATGGTGTGGGTCTTGCCGGATCCGGTCGTGCCGTACGCCATGACCGCTGCATCGTAGCCGGCAAGCCACTGGGATACAACCGGAGCAGCACCGGCGTGGTATATCTCGTCCTGGCTCGCTTCGACGGCGTTGTCCGGTAGTGCCGCCAGCGAGCAAGCCGCCCCTGCCGACTCGGGCATTCCACGCTCGGCAAGCTCGGCAACGCGGCGAGCATCGGAGTCATTGAGAGGGCGGAGACGGAGCGTGGTGGAGACATACGTTGTTTCCGGGAGTGCCATGGCTTGCGGTGAGGTGCGATGGTCGCAAGACTGGTGTTGCCAGCAGTGGTGCGGAGAAGAAGGTTGGACTGGAAAGGTCTGACATTGTTCACCACTGACATTCCTTCTTTTGTTCCGAGGCGGGCAACATGTCTTTACCCTCCTGCCCCAAGGAGTGCTCCACATTTAAGGGACCGTCAGTGAGGTGGCGGCAAGGACAGTTGCTATGGCGAGGACATTGGCACTTGTCCGCGGCTGAGCTGGCTCTCTTCAGAGCTAGCTTCCGGCTCCGCCAAGGCAGTGGCAGCAGTGGCCGACACGATGGGGATGGGAGCGATGACACCCGGAGAGGCAGTGGCAACAGGCTGCACAATGGGCAAAGGATGGCTTGGGAGGGGCGTTGTGGCGATGGAGCTTATCCCATTGCTCGGCGTCGCCGCACCGTTGGCAAGAGCGCCCATGGCGAGAGCGTGGGCCATCCCGGCGGTCACGGGCATGGGAAGTGCTGGCATGCCGTGCGGTACCATGTTCTGATGCGCACTCTGTAGTTGGCGAATGAGAGCCAGGTTCGGCAGCTGGTGGGCCTGCACAGCAGCAGCAGCAGCGGCGGCGGCGGCGGCGGCTGTCCGGGACTGAGCCAGCTGCTGTGACCAGAGCCACGCGCGCCACGCGTCAGTCATGCCGGAGGAGGGCAATGGCATTGCAGAGGGTGGCGTACTCATGGCCGATGTGGCAAATGCCTGAGCCTGACGGAGCTGGGCCAGGCGGTGTATGTCCAAGGCCTTGGCAGACAAGGCAGAGGGAAGAGGGCGGCCGAGGCGAGCGGAGAAAATTCTGTTCTGGGAACAAAACCCGAACCACGGGGCCCCTGACACTGGTCTCTCCACCCATCGTGGGCAGCCTGAAGGCCGGAACTGGCTCCCTTTCGTGTTCTCACCTCTATGGGTGGAACTGATGGTAGGTCAGCAAGGCTCTGTAAGCCGTTTGGGATAACAGATTGACCCATGCCGTGCCCAGGGGGAGGCACAACCTCCGTGGGGTGTGATGATGTCGATGGGCTCAATGCCAGTCGATCCTGCCGGCGCCGTGTGCTGCTGCTGGCATGTGCATCGCCACTGCGCTTACGCTCCAGACGAGTGATGGTCTCCTGGATGGCGAGGGCACGTTGGACAACTGTCGGCGGGAGGCGCCGCCTTCTGTTGATGAACCACTGGCGGACCTGGATAAAGGTGAGGCCGGCAGCTTCGGCCATCTCCTCCATTTCTGCCCGGGATGGATATGGGTTTGCAACATGTGATGCCATCCATGTGTTGAGCATGAGTGTCACGCCCTAGTAATAACAACACCCGTCCATGGTGGGCGATGTGAGTTCGGCAGAGTGAGGTGACCATAACCCGCAAAACCACACAGCACGCCCGTTCCGGGACCCTTGGTCGTAAGGGAGAACGATGATTGGGCCGTAAAAAATTGCCGACACACACAACGGGTACCCCCGGCTCACACAGGCTGCTCAACCGCTTGCCACACTCGCCCAGCCAGGTCATGCAAACGGGAGAGAGCCAAACTCATGTCACAGACGAGTTAAACCCAGCTCCACTCCTCTAGCTGACGTACGTCACTGAAGAAGACCCTCCGCCGGCCCAACCCATGCTTCTTCGATGGCGTGTGGTCATCGTTGGCATCGTCGGCCTCCCGCCGCCGGCGCTTGCGACCCATGGTGCCGGATGGTGCGAGTCAGCCCAACTCGTGCAACTCTTCTGTGTGACGCAGGAATTCAGCGCCTGGTTGTCAGCACAATTGCACACACACAAAAACGGAGCGCAGATGCGCTAGACAGGTGCACACGCGAGTCGGGCGTCACTTTGCGGCCTGCCATTTCCACCACGCGTCGATGGCTGTTGCTCAGCTCGGTTTTGACCCAGCGGAAATTGATTGGCTCTATCACTCAGTGTCAGCCAAGTCGGGTGCGAATACGGCTCTCGGCACCAGCACCAGCGGCGCTCCTTTGCTTGTTGGTGGTTGGTATGATGGCGCAGGAGTGGGCTGTGCTCTGCTGTGCGATGAGGTGTAGCTGATGAGGCAGGGGAAGGCAGGGTAGGATGCCCATCATGCCTTGGTGTTCTGCGGTGGAGGTCAGTAAGATGTGACCTTCTTCCCCCGCACATCATCTCCCCTCTGCTCGAGCAGTGAGGTTAGCCGCTACCTTTTGTTGCAACCAGCCAGTCCTTCGTCACCGAACTCGCCAAAACAGCCCATCTTGCGGCCGGCTCTTGCTGGTGGTGGGGTGGATGACGTGGAGACGATTTGGCTCTGACATCCAAGATATGCTATGCGAGAGCAGTGCCAATGTGCCATTGCCATCAGTATCTGCTGCCACGGTGCCCGCTGGCACCACCGAGGTTCACGGCGGTCTACAGCGCTGTCGACCACACGCCCACCCCCTCTCAACTCTCTCTCTCTCTCCCTCCCAATATCAACCGAGGACCACGCGTCTGCCCACCATCACCACTGTCACCATCAGCCGTCCAAACGCGACTATCTCATCATGGAGGCATACTATGTAGAGGATACGGTCGGCTCGGGCTCGTTCGGCGTTGTTGTCCGCGCCGTTCACATGCCATCGGGCCTGCGTGTGGCGCTCAAGCGCATCCCTGCTCTCGATGTCCAGACGCTCACCCGTCCGCGCCGTGGCGGCTGGCCGGCGACGACCGAGCCGAACGAGGCCTCAGCCAGTCGCGGAGGCTGGCCGGCGACGACCGAGGTGAATGGCGCCAACGACGATGGCGGCGGGGCTGCGAGCAGTGCTCGGGAGAAGCCGAGTCAGGGGCTGGACGAAGAGGAGGAAGGCGAGCTGGCGCTGGCGGCCGTCCGCGAGGTGCTCGCCCTCACGGGAATGGAGCATGTGAACGTGGTGCGGATGTACGAGGCCTTTGCCCATGGCACCTCGCTGGTCCTTGCGCTCGAGTTGTGCGACTTGGACCTCGGGGCGGTGCTGGCGGCACCAGGCGCTGCGGCGCTCCTCTCGCCGCGAAATGTCAAGGCGGCGATGGCCATGGTTCTTGACGGTCTCGCTTTTCTGCATGCAGCCGACATCATCCACCGCGACATCAAGCCAGCTAACCTGCTCATCTCTCACGACGGCGTGGTCAAGATCGGCGACTTTGGTCTCGCTCGCGTTCACGTCGCGCCAGGGCCTGGCGAGCCGAAGCACATCTACTCGCATCAGGTTGCGACACGCTGGTACCGTGCTCCCGAGCTGCTGTACGGGGCGACCAGCTACGATGAAAAGGTTGATACCTGGGCAGCCGGTGCGGTGTTGGGCGAGATGCTTGCCGGCGGCTACCCGCTGTTTCCGGGCGAGTCGGACATCGACCAGCTTGTCCGCGTCATGGCCGTTCTCGGCACGCCGTCGACCGAGACCTGGCCTTGCCTCGTCGATCTGCCTGACTATGGCAAGATCCGGTTCCAGCCTCAAGACGGCATGCCGCTGGCCGAGTTTCTACCGGACGCGCCGAGCGAGGCCTGCGAGTTGCTGGCGGCGCTGCTGTGCTACAACCCTGACGCTCGCGCGAGTGCGGCTGACGCCCGTGCGGCTGGGTACTTTAGTGTCAAGCCGGAACTACCGGCGCCGCTGGCGCTCGACCTCAGCGCCGACCTCCGCCATCCACCGGCGCCGCCTCGCATCGCTGTTGACCCGCTGGTCGGCGGTGTGCTTGGCAGCTACACACCGCACCGCGCTGCCGACTACCCGTGGTGAGACCCCGAGTCGCTGTGCTAGAACGGTGCGTCGCTGATGGTGGCAAAGAGGTGGACAAGCCGCTCGCGGCCCGACGTGGTGTCGAGGCGGAAGAGCGGAACCGCCATGGCATCGTGACGGAGGCATCGCAGAGCGCACGCCAGCCGTGTTGCTGGTGCAGCCTGAAGGACCCGCGCGAGCGAGCGGTGCTGGTAGATGAGCGCAAGAACGCCGAGTGGAAAGGCGATGGCAGGGCGCATCGCGAGCGCCATGGCCTCTAGAAACTCGGTGACAAAGGCAAAGAACTGGCGAATGATCCGGCGCGGGACCGCGTCGTCACCGGCAAGCGCGAGGACTCGGACCACGACATGCGCGAGCTGGATGGCCTGTCGTCGGCTGGTGAGCTTCGGGACGAGAGCCGGGATCGTGCCGGTGAGTAGCGGGCCGAGCCCGCGCACGCCGAGCGCAATGTGCAGGACGTAGGCGGCAAAGTCAGGCCGCTGGGAGCTGGCGCCGAGCCGCAGTGCGGGCGAGTTGGGGCCGACAGCTGCGTCGATGACTGCGTCGACCGCGTGGCGGGTGCTTGTCACCAGTGCCAGCTGCCGCACCATCCGCACTGCGCGCATATCGTGGTCGCGGAGCCACTTGGCGAGGCGGAGGCTCGCGGCCACGCCAACAACTGCCCCGTCGGCCTCACCCTCGCGCCCGCCGACTGTCCGCCCGCCGGCCGCAGCCACAATGGCCACCAGCGGCGACGACTCGGAACACGGCTGGCGGAACGTAGCGACCATTCGTCTGGCGACTACCGGGCGCAAGCCGGGCAGGTTCGGCAGCGACTCGAACAGGCTCGCTGCCGACTTTCCGACCGCGTCCTGCAACGCCACATCGGGCAGCGTCGCTAGCCACCACAGCGGCGCAATCATGGCGTACGGCGAGAGCTTGCCCAAAGCCACAAGCACATCGATGATGGTTGCCAGCTGCGACGCTGCCGTCGCCACGTCGGCGCCATGCAGCCGCTCGGCGATGTTCTGCACGATTGCCATCGTCGCCACGCCCGCTGCCCAAGGGCTCATGGCCTCGAGAAGCGTCTGGAGCGCGCCTGTCACGCGCTGGGCGTTCGAAGTCGAAAAAAGCGCGACCTTCATCTGCTGTGTTGCCGTCTTGGCCGCCTCCGACTCGGCGGCGGCAGACACAGTCTGGTGAGCCTCAACCAACGCGCGCAGGTCCGCAGAGATGGCGGAGGCCTCGCCGATCTCAGCCGCCGTGCTTTGCACAAAGACATCAAACGAGAGGTAGCTGGCCAGCTCAAGCTTGTCGTAGAACGAGACAAAGAGGAGAACAGCGGGCGCGGCCAAGCCGTGGCCGACACTGCCCGACAGCGCAATCAGTGCCAGCGCCAACCGCGCCAGAGCAGCGCCGTACTGCAAGCCCAATCCGATCTGTGCGAGCCGGATGGCGACCGCGTCAGTGGCGCCGAGGAGCGAGTAGAGAAGCGCCATGTCCGAGCGCCCAAGCGTGTCCACGCTGTCGGCCATGGCACTCACCATCTCCACCACATGCTCGGCAACAGCGGCGGCGACCTCGATCCGAACCTTGTCCGAGAACAGCTGAGTGAGGAGCTTGACAGCTTCATCCAGCGGAGTTTGCGGATTTCTGATGTGGGCAAAGAGGGGCCCGACCTGGCTGCTGGTGGCGACGACGCTTGGGTCGTTGATTACGGCCAGAGGCGCAAGCGCTGTGCCCGAAGCGATAGCATAGGCCACGGTTCGACTCGCCTCAGACACAAACGGCGCCGCCGGCTTGGCGCGGACGCCGCCGGCAGCCAGTGACGGCGTAGCCGCGCCAGACTCGGACTCGGAGGGAGCAAACAAGTCATTGAGAAAGTCGTCGTCGCCGTCGAGAATGCCTACAGGCGTGTTTGGCAGCGGCATCGCTGCCTTGGATAGCTTGCGCGAGACCGATCCGAGCTTGTCCGCCTCGGACTCGATCTGGAGCCCGGCATGGGTGTACTCCTCAGCCTGCGCCATCGAGAGCTGGAGGTGGTGCGGGAGGCTTGCCAGCAGACCTTGCGCAAACTTGGGCAAGCAGACCACGTTGGCCGGCGTCTTCTCCGATGCCTGCCACAGATGCAGGATGGCGGAGCAGAGGGCGTCGGCAAAGGCCGCAGGGTCGTCAGCAGATGCCTGCCACAGCGCGAGCAGCCGCGGAAGGGAGGCAAAGGCGATGACGTCGTCGACAACATCCACGTCTTGATAGCTCATGTACGCCCCGGAAACAACTTGTGCAACAACCTCGCCGAGCGGGAGCTGCGAGAGTTCGGCAAGGACCATGAACGAGCGCACCATGTCGGCGTCCGAAACAACCACCAGCGCGTGCCCCATCGCCTCCATTCGGTACTGGACAGCGTCAGAGACATCAAACGGGGCAGTCGTCAGTGCTGCTGGCCCGATAAGAAACGAGCCGTGCGCGGCCTTGACTGCCTGGCGCCGCGGATGCTCTGCGCTCTCCATCCGAGCCACAACCGTCGCCAGTGCCATGCGGATGTCGCCCGGCGCCGAGACGCCGTTGGCCTCGGCGGCATCGAGCGAGAGCCGCACCGCTTGCGCTGCACTCACCAGCGCGCGCCAGTCGTCAGGCACATCGTGGACCGCAACAACAAGGGTAATGAAGCAGAGTTGGTCGTCGAGGACCTCACCAACCAGCGCCACCAGTGACTGCGCGTTCTCAGCCGCGGCCATGAGGCCCAGCTGGCTGGTGGAGCCGTTCCGCAGCACAGCATCGAGACAGGCACCGAGGGCGTGGAAGGCAAACGAGAGGCCCGAGATCAAAGCAGCAGCCTCCTCGTCGACGGCCGACACGACGGTGGTCTTCATCTCGACCACGCCATCGCGCTCTGCACTCTCATCGTTGCCATCCCCCAGCCCGAGCGAGTCGACATCGACCGCCAGCGAAGAGAGCGCGGTGGAGAGCAACCTGACCAAAGCAGCCAGCCTTGCCGGATGGGCGACGAGCTCTTCGACATCCAACGCACTCACAGCGGCAAGGTATGTAACCGGAGCCACCACGTCCACCACAAGGGCATGCTCTAGGTACTCGACCACCCTTGCCCTTGGCTGGCTTCCCGAGCAGATGTACTTGAGGAGGACGTCTGTGACGAAGAGGCCAGGCGGGGGTGAGTGTAAGGAGAGGGAGAAGGACCAGGGGCTGAGGGGAGGCACTCGGGGGAGGGGAGGGGGGGGGGGGGGCACGTCGGGGGAGGGGGGGGGCACTCGGGGGGGGAGGGAATCATAGTGCGTACCACACACGTCTGTCGACCATGCCCGCGGTGGCCGACCCCTGGTATTGATGGTGGCCTGCATGGTCTTGAGCCATTCCACAGCAGGCAGTTGCTCACGCCACCCATCACACACAGCTGTCTCTACTGCTTCGTGCTCACTTCCTTCCATTCTGGAGGGTGGTGTGTGGGGCGTGTGTGTGTGGTGGGGGGGGGGGGGTGGGGGCGGGGGTAGGGGTGGAGTGGAGTGGTGGCGGGTGCGGTGGTGTTGGTCACCAGCCGAGTCGCAGCTGATTCGGTGGTGTTTGGCGGCAGAGGGTAGCCGAGCTGGGCAGTTGCTGATCTGGAAGATCGGGTGGGCAGACAGTGCGACTCGCGAGTGGCGGCAGATTGGGCGAGTGCTGGTGGGACATGTATGCGTGCGTGTGTGTGTCTGTGTATGGGCTGGAGAGAGAGTCAGGCTGGGCGATCGGAATCAGAAGATGAAAAAGGCCGACGGGGACGATGGCGCGATGCGAAAAGCCTCGAGGTGGGCGACGACAGTGGCGATCTCGACGGCATAAGCGGTTGGAGTGATAGGCTCGGCGTTGCGGCCGAGGACAACACCATCGGTGAGGCGGGCAACAAGGGTGGCAGCGGCAAACATGAGCTCGGCGGCAAACATGGGATCAAAGGCGTAGGGGAGGAAGCAGCGGAACGAGAGCATAGACAGGACCGCGTTCGGCGCGTCGGGGTCGAGCAAAGTCTCGGGTCCACCATGAGCATAGACTCGGAAGACATCATCGGTCGGCATATCGTCGTCGTCATCGTCGGCGTCCTCGCCTTCGACGACAGTCGCCGGAAGCACAAACATGGCCGGCGCCGAGCCCTCGGCCGGAACAAAGGCCAGCCCCGTCTCGGTCAGAGCGTGCCAAGCCTCGCGCATCGCCACACCACACCCGTTCTCACCAAGACGCACATACAACTCGGAGCAGAGCATCCGCGTCGGGAGCGTGCGCGCGAGCAGCGACGCCGTCGAGACCACAACCTCGGGCGCAGCCATCGCACTCACCGCGACTGGCAGCTCCTTCAGAGCCTCTTCAAGGGACGCGACCGCATCAATCAGCGCCTCGGCGTCCGGCCGCTCCAGAACGCCGGGCACCCGCTCGCCGTCGCACAGCGCAAACAGCGAGACAAGAACCTCACGAACATCACCATCGTCGACGTCGTCACCATTTTCGTCGCATTCGCCAACAGAGCCATAGCTAGATCCAGAGCCCTGGAGAGCTACAGACGGAATGCCGGCCTCCTCGTCAACATCACGGGCCAGATCGTCACCAGAGTTGCGGCTCAGATCGTCGACAAGATCGTCATCGTCGTCGTTGTTGTTGTCGTTGTCGTCGCCAGCTTCGATCTCGTCGCAGCACACGAGCGCACAGCCAGTGCCGCACTCATCGGCATCTGAGCCCGACTGACCCGGGAGCGGCAGCTGAAGCTCGGCCCAGCCGCCGAGCTCATTGTCGAGAACAAAGAGGCGGGCAAGGAGCGAAAGCTCGGGCGTCCAGCCGATGATGGCACGGACGACGGTGGCGCCGAGGCCCGGCATGGAGGCCAGGGCGCGCTCGTCGATCTCGACGCGGATAGCGTGCTCGACAGCAGAGATGGGGACCTCTTGCGGGAGATCTTCCGGCGGCGGAGTCATCAGCATGTTCGCCACGCCATTCGGCAGATCCAGCTCGTCGCCGCAAGACGCCGTGAGGGCAGCAAAGGTGGTCATGAGGCCCAACTCGTTAGCCACCGTCAGCAACGGGCCATACCGCTCATGGTAGCCCCTCCCCTTTGCCACAGGCACCAGCTCCGGGCATCCGTCATCAACCTCTACTGCCGACATCTTGCTTTGGCTTGGCGTCGAGTGGTACCGCAGAGCCCAGCCTTGAGCCCGGGACTCTGTGTGCGTTGGCGAGGGCGAGGATGAGGGGTGAGGATGGATGGGGTGGCACCACGAGAAGGGGCGGGACGGCTGATGCTGCTCGATGTGGGTTCAGGGACGGTGGATCGCATGCCAGATCGGGAGAGAGGGCGGGAGGGTTTGGTGGCGGCAGGTCGTGAAAGAATTTACTTCGATCACGACGAAGAGTTGGACGACGACGAGATCGAGCGGGTGCTGGCGCAGGAGACGATCGAGTCGACATCGTACTCGGACTCGTTGGAGGAGATGTGGTAGCGGTTGGGATGGCGCTTCGCGTCAGAGCTGGAAGAGTGGCGGCGGCGATGGTGCGAGCGGTCGTCAAAGTCGCGCCTGACAACCTCAAACACGCGCTTGTCTTCCGAGTATGACGAGAACGAGTGGACCATGTTGCTGTGATCCATGAGCGAGCCCTCGACGCCGAGAAGGTAGTTGGCGGTCGAGCGCTCGAACCGCTTCGAGTTGTGCAGCAGATGCTTGGCGAGGTACAGCCTGCTCGAGTCAATCTTGTCGTCAGGCAGGTCCAGGAGGAAGTTCTTAAAGACGCGGCGCAGGTACTTGTTGTGATTGAGCGAGTGGCGGAGCCGCGACTGGGTGTGGGTGTGGGCCTCCTGCTCGGCTGCGACGACGCCCTGGACGATGCGGACAAGGCGGAGGAGCACCAGGAGCCCGGCGTATGCATTCTCACCGCCGAGCCAGAGCTCGAGGACGAGCGAGATGAGGACGACGCCAAAGTCGAACACGTGCATGAACTTGAAAAAGTGCTTGCCGATGGCCCACAACAGAACCAGATTCTCTATCACAAAGATGCAGAGCATGGTGATAGAGAACCAGTGGAGGAACTCTTCACCGTGCTCCAGATCGTGGTTCACCGTCGGCTCACCGCGTGGATCGCCAGGATTGACCGGGCACGGCGCCTCCGAGTGGACTTCGCCAAACGCATCCGAAGCGATAGCAAGCTCGAGCGAGACGGCGATAACGTCAAGCACAATGAGCACGATGACAAAGATGCGAAAGTACTTGGACTCAATGATGTGATGCGCCTTCCGCCGCCACTTGCTGCGGCTACCACCATGCGCCTGGGAAGGATCGGTCAGATCCGACGAGATGGAGATGGACGACAGATCCTTGAGCTTGTGCTCATGAAAGGTAGACACATCCGATCCGGACGTATCCTCTGACGAAAACGACTTTTCTCTGGCACACAACCTAAATCCCGACATGATGACACTGTTTCCCTCCCACGATCCCCATGCCCCCCCCTCTCTTCCATGATGAGTCTCATCGTCTGCCTCGACGCACCACACCATCCCGCACCACCGCCAACGCAACCACCTGCCAGCACCACCACCGCCTGGGACCGACATCGCCGGCAATGGCATCCACCCACATCATAGTGGCGACATACCACACCCACTCACCTCACATGTCATGCATACCTTGATTGTCTGACGTCAAGTGCGTCTCCGTCCCCCGTCTCGGTCCACTCGTGTCGTCTCCCTGCTGCGGGACGGTGATTGCGTCGGCTACGCAACGGCGCTGGCCAGCCAGAGCGATCTCTCCCAGACTGAGTAGCTCACAGCTTGAGCGAGTTGATCGCGGGGCTTGAATGAGAAGGAGAAACGCTTGGGTTTGTTTGCCTGTGGTTGGTAGGTACGGGTCAGCTTCCGCCGCTTTCCGGACTGGTATCCCGCGCATGCATCTGCCTGTGCGCTATCCCGTAGCCAGCGCAACACGCGGCACGGAGGGGTGAGCAGCGGGCAGGAAGCGAGGTCAAAGCAGGCATGATAGTAGCAGCGACAGTGTACATTGTCATTGTTCAATTGGCGGGAGATCGGATGGTTGCATCGTGTGATCGGGATGCCTGGCGCTCCCACCCGACCCAGTCCCCTCCAGTGCTGCGCGTGAGCGAGTGGGGAGAGGGGAGAGAGGAGGGGGGGGGGATGACTAGGTCAGCAGGCAGAGAGAGAGGGAGGCACACCTGACTGTGAATCGAGGCGGATATGCTGCGTGTTGTTTCGTCTACTACCACCTCTGCTGTTGCTGCTGCTGCTCGGCTGAGTGGTGGAAGTGTGGCTCGGCTGCTCTCGTCGGCTGTGCCTGCCTTGGGCAACGTCGCCGTGGCTAATGTCCCGTCAGCCGGCGTACGCAGCATGGGGAGGGGTGGGGATTGGGGGTGGGGGGGTAGGGGGGGTGGGGGGGTGGGTATTGGGGAGATTGGGAGGGATGTGTATGGATGACTTATAGTTGCTATGTGTGCTTGTGTCTGTGTTGTGTGTGTGTGTGTGGTGGCGATGGTGGCGATGGTCTTGGTGGCGATGGTCGTGGTGGCCCTGGTCGTGGTGGCTGTCTGCTGTGTGGCGATGTGGTCGACGTGGCTGATGATGGCTGCTGATGGTGCCCGCACCTGACAACGACTGGCAATGGCTGCTCGCACCTGACGACGACTGGCGATGGCTGCTCGCACCTGACGACGACTGGCAATGGCTGCTCGCACCTGACGACGGGTGGATGGCGAGTGTGCTCAGCGCGCGGCTGGGGTGCTGGGTGATGTCGATCCCGAGGTGGCTGCGCTGCTCGCGCGCGAGTACACTCGTCAGTCAGAGGGCATCGAGCTCATTGCGTCGGAGAACTTTACGTCGGCGGCGGTGATGGAGGCGCTCGGCTCGTGCATGACCAACAAGTACTCGGAGGGCTACCCGGGCCGCCGGTACTACGGCGGCAACGAGGTCATCGATGACAACGAACGTCTGTGCCAGGCCCGCGCTCTCGAGTGCTTTGGCCTCAACCCGGAAGAGTGGGGCGTCAACGTCCAGCCGTACTCGGGCTCGCCGGCCAACTTTGCTGCCTACACCGGCATGATTTCCCCGCATGACCGCATCATGGGCCTTGAGCTCTCGCACGGCGGCCACTTGACCCACGGCTTCATGTCGCCGACCAAGCGCATCTCGGCTACCTCGATCTACTTTGAGTCGATGCCATACCGCCTCAACGAGTCGACCGGTCTCATTGATTACGATGCTCTCCACGCCTCGGCCCAGCTCTACCGCCCGAAGATCCTCATCGCCGGCGCCTCGGCCTACTCGCGCAAGATCGAGTACGGCCGCATGCGCGAGACCGCAGACTCGGTCGGCGCCTATCTGCTGGCAGACATGGCCCACATTGCCGGCCTCGTCGCCACCGGCCACCTTCCGTCGCCGTTTGACCACGCCGACGTCGTCACCACCACGACCCACAAGTCGCTTCGCGGCCCGCGCTCCGGCCTCATCTTCTACCGGCGCGGCGTCCGCTCGGTGACCAAGAAGGGCAAGGAGATCCCGTACACGCTTGAGGAGGACATCGACTTTGCTGTCTTCCCCTCGCTGCAGGGCGGTCCGCACAACCACCAGATCGCCGCCGTCGCCGTCGCCCTCAAGGAGGCCATGCAGCCGCAGTTCAAGATCTACCAGGACCAGGTACTTGCCAACACACAGGCCCTCGCCGACGCCCTCACCCAGCTCGGCTACGCTCTCGTCTCGGGTGGCTCCGACAACCACCTGCTCCTCCTCGACCTGCGCCCGCTCGGCGTCGACGGCTCGCGTGTCGAAAAGGTCATGGAGAAGGCTGCCATCACTGTCAACAAGAACGCCGTGCCCGGCGATACCAAGCCCATGACTCCGGGCGGCATCCGCGTCGGCTCGCCGGCCATGACCTCGCGCGGCCTCGTCGAGTCCGACTTTATCCAGGTCGCCGGCTTTATGAACCGCGCCATCGCCATCGCCAAGCGCATCAAGTCCGACTACGGCGGCAAGCTCAAGGACTTTGACGCGGCTCTCCACAACGAGCACCACCCCGACCTCGACGCTCTCAAGACTGAGGTCATCGACTTTGCCGAGTCGTTCCCCATGCCGGGCGTCGAGCCCGTCGTCCCGTAGTGTAGCGTGCTGTACCCAAACTAAACAAGGCCTTTACTTCATTGGTTGACGTCGGCCAGCGGCGACCGCAGCGGCGATGCCTCCATGGCTGCCGGATGCATGGTCTTGGGCGTCGCAGGCGCCCGCTGCACCTCCCGCCGCCCCGCTCGACGGTCCTCCCGCCGGCTCGCCCCGCGATCCTCGCGCCGGCTCGGCGTCCCGCTTGTGCTCGCAGCTGCGCTTGTGCTCGCGGCCGAGTTTGCCCGCGCGGCGGCGGCGCCGCCCCCGCCTGAAAGTCGCGCCGAAAACCGCTGAATGCTGCTCGGCGACGAGTTTGACGGCTCGCACGCCTCGTAAGCGTCCCACTCCATGACCTCCGAAATGGTTGTTGCTGCCTCGTTGAGCGCCGCGAGCAGCATCTTGGAGCGCGACCGCTGGAGCGCCACGTCCTCCACTTCTGAGAGGAGGTCGTCAAACGCGTCGGGCTGGTACAGCGCGGCCACAAGCTCGTTCTGCACCGAGTCCTTCGACGCGTTAACCAGCAGGAGCATGATGGCCTTGGGCACCGAGTCCTGGATGTTCTTCTTGACAATGTCAAAGTAACTCTCCAGCAGTGAGGTGATGAGCTTGGTCTCGGTCATTTCGCGCTCGTTGAGCGTCGGCCGCGGCTTGAGCATCGCCGGCGGCTCGCGGAGGATGACGGCTGGCGGGAGCGTTTGCCGCCCACTCGTGCTCCCGCCGCGCGCCGCGCTCCCGTCCGCTCCCGTTGGAATGTGCAGCCCGCCGGCCGAGCTCGTCCTCGACGAGCTGCCGCTTGCGCCCTGCTCCTGTCCGGCCTCGCGGCCAAAGAAGACGTTGAGGAACATGCCGCCCTCCGGATCCGAAGAGGTCGGCAGCGAGGCGCCCGCGCTCGAGCTCTGCGCCGCACCGCACCTGCTGCTCATCATCTCGTTCGCCATCGACCGGCGCGACGCCGCGCCCGACGCGCTCAGCACCGCGCCTGACGACCCTGCAACCGCGCCGGTGTTGGTCGCCGCCAGCGACGCCAGCGCCTGGGTCCCAGCCAGAAAGTCTGGGTGGTTGGTGTTGATGTACGAGAGCTCCATCTTGATGAGCGTTCGGATCATAGCCATCGTCGGCCGCTTGAGCCGCGCGAGGAGCGCTGACATGACTTCGTGGATGGAGGCGCGGAGGACGCCAAAGCGGACAAGCGCCTCGTCCTCAATCTCGCGGGTGATGCGAAGGAGCTCGTCAAAGACAAAGTCGACGCACTGCAGTGCTGGATCCTCCAGCCGCGAAATCTGCCGCTTAACAAGGAGCTCGAACGAGACTTCGGGCACAAAGAGCGAGCGCCGAGGACCGGTCGCGTTGCGGATGACAGTCCGGATGTCCGACAGCGTCAGCGCGTCCATGGCCGAGACAGCCGAGATCGAGGCGGCAAAGACGTCGTGGAAGATGTACGCGATGCGCGCACCGCCCGAGAGCTGGTTGGTGATAAACGACGTTCGCGTCCCGTCGATCGCCGCGCAGTACGAGGTGCAGAACTGAGTGAGCGATGAGAGGACCAGGCCCGACTTTTCGGTCTCAGACGTGGCGTTGATCGGCTCGCCGAGCAACCCGATGTGGTTTTCGGTCTCTGAGATGAGCGCGTGGATCCGCGACCGCAGCGCAGGCAGCGCGTTGCGGATGTGGTAGATGAGGATCTTGTTGAGCGTCCGGGAGAGGTACCCGGTCCCGCAACGGTAGGCAAACTCGGCGTACGCAGGATGCCGCGCAAAGAACGTGTGCTCGCGCTCGAGAGCCTGCGCAATCGATGACCCGTTGATAATGTCCTGCTGCGACCGGTTGATGACGCCAATAAAGCCGAGCTTAAGCGGAATGACCCGTCCGCAGAGCACGTCGACTGCATCGGTTCCCTCGTCCATCAGATCAAGCTTGGTCAGCACGCCAATGGTCCGGGTCCCGTCCGGATCGACCTCGCGCGCCATCTGCAGCGCGTCCGAGTTGGCCAGATCGGTGTTGGCCGGCGTCACCGCCAGAATGATGGACTTGGCCTGTGAAATGTACTCGAGCACCATGGCCCGGATCTGCTTCTCGATGTCCGACGGCTGGTCACCCACAGGCACCTTGGTCATGCCCGGCAGGTCGATGAGCGTCAAGTTGACCACCGACGGCGAGTAGACCTTGAGCCGGATGGGCAGTGGCGAGATGCCCTTGTTCGACCCGGTCTCCCGGTCCGTCTCCAGCTGGATCTCATCACGAATGTCGTCAAAGTCATAGAACTTGATTCCCGGCTGGTGTGCAAACTCGCCCCACTCTGCCCGCCCGTCCCGGTTCGCATTCCCGCCGTGCCCGCCGTGTTCGCCGTGCCCAGAGCCTGCGTGAGTTTTTGGCGCCAAAGCGAGCAGCCCGTCACCGCCCCAAGGCATCCACCAGCCCCCACCTCCTGCCCATGCACCCATGCCACCCACCCACCCACCCACCCACCCACCCATGCACATCTCAAGACGTACCTGCAGAGCCCTCTTCCACATGTGTCAGCTGCAGGACTAGCGGGCGGCGGGTGACAATGCCGATGCCGCGCGGAAGAAAGTCGCGGCCGACGAGCGACTCGAGGACCGACGACTTGCCCGACGATTGGGCGCCAATGACCACCACCTGCGGCAAGGGGATAGTGGCTGCAGAGCCGAGCGTTGCAAGCACATCCTGCACTTTGCCAAACACAGGAATGAGCGCGTCCATCTCTCACCCGTCCGAGTCGAGTGACAACTCTCCCGGTCACGCCCCTCGCCACCGCTGCACCCGCTCTCGTCCTCTGCCATTCCCGCCGCATCGCCTGCAGAGCGACGGCTCCGATCGTCGCCACGATCACCTTGGCGCCAATCACCGTTTCCCACCAAAAGGCCGTAAACGCCCTTCTCGCCCCCCCCTCCCCCCCTCCCCCCTCCTCCTCCCCCCCCCCCTTCTATTCCCCAACTCAAGCAACCCCTCCCCCCCCCCCCCCCCAACCCCCAACCCCTCTATTATTCCTTCTCAATGTCGTCGTCACGCCGGCGTGGTGGTGCGGGAGAGAGCGAGGCCAAGCAGCGGCGACGGCGACAGCAGCAGCGGCAGCAGCACGAGCTGGCTACAGGCGGGCTCTCGGAGCGAGTGCTGAAGCTGCGGTCGGGCCATTATGATCTGTCGACGGTGCGGGTGCTCAAGCTGGCGAATCTCGGCCTGCGGTCAACAACAGGCATTGCTGCCTGCCCCAACGTGGAGGAGCTATTTCTCGCCGGCAACTCGCTCACCTCGCTCGACCAGGCCGAAGCGCTGACCAAGCTCCGCATCCTCGACGTCTCGCACAACAGGTTCACCTCGCTCGACTTTCTTCCGCCTCGTGTCCTCGAGCTTCTCCGCGAGCTTTATGTGGCGGGAAATGGCGTTGAAGGTCTCGATGCGCTCGACGTCCTCGCCCCGGCTTTCCGTCTTGTCCGGCTGGATCTCGAGCGGCTCGGCGGCGAGAGTCCAAACCCGGTCTGCCGCGAGCCGGGCTATCAGCCACGAGTGCGGGCCATTCTTCCGCACCTGCGGGTACTGGACGGGCAGCGGCTCAAGTTTGCAGCGGTGTACAAGACGACCACGCTCGCTGACCTCTTCCCCGACGGCGAGATCCTCGACCTGCCCGAGATCTCGCAGCCGTGGCTCCCGGACGACTACTTTCCGCCTGTCGACTCGCTCACTCCCGACGACGCCGATGCCATTGTCAACGCGCATCTCGGTCCTGCGGCGCTCGAGGCCGAGCTCAACAAGCTGTACTCGCTCTCGCAGGACGCCCAAGCCATGATCGACGTCGCCGCCGCACAGCTCGACCTCGACCCGGACGCGCTTGTCGCGCGGCGTGGGTCATGACAGACAGACAGTTGGCCTTGCGACTGCTTGTGAGTAACACCGACGCCACCGCGACGCATACTGCACCTGCACCTCTTTTCTCCACCCTTCCCCCTCCACCATGGCTGCCGCCAGTCTCTCTTCTCTCGCTACGCCTGGGTGGCATGCGTTTGACTCGGATGCTCAGGGGTGGCTGGAGTTGGTCGACGGCGAGCAGGCGGCCGCAGATGGACCGCCAGTCCCGGACCTCCTCCGCCTGGTCACCTTCAACATCTGGTTCGAGCCGCTCGAGGCCGAGCTGCGGATGGCTGGTTTGATTGATGCGATGCTGGGAGAGGCGCCTGATGGATGCGAGCCTGCGCCGCCGCACTTTGTGGCGCTTCAGGAGGCGACACCGCGCCTGATGGCGCTGATCCTAGCTGATGATCGGGTTCGGGCGCGGTACGCGGTGTGCGGGCTTGATGCACGTCCATATGGTGTCGTCATGCTTGGCGATCGCCGGCTTGCCCCTCGAGTGCCAGAGGTGAGACGGGTCGTGTTGCCGACAACCATGGACGGGCGGACGCTGTTGATGGCGGTAGGCCCACGGCTGGTCATCGGCGGCGTGCACCTGGACTCCAAGCCGCACAACGAGGCGGTGCGAGGAGAGCAAGTTGAGGTGGTCAAGGCTGCGCTTGAAGGAGCGCGTGGGGCAGCGGGTGCGATGGCGGTCATGGGCGACTTTAACTACCATGTGAGTGGCGAGAGCGGCAAAGAGGTGGATGACGCCATGGTGAGCGGAGAGCTCGTCGACGCGTGGCGCGAGTGCAAGGTAGATGCGGCCGGACTAACGTTTGACTGTGAGGTCAACGCGATGCTGGCGGCAGACAAGGCGCCCAAAAAGGTGCAGGTCCGGTTCGATCGTGTGTATGCGGCTGGAGCTGAGCCTGTGGCAGCTGCGGTGATTGGGCAACGGGCGATCGACGGGTGCGAGGTTGTGTGGCCGTCGGACCACTTTGGCCTCGTCGCGTGGCTCCAGCTCTAGTCGAGGCCAATGATCTTGTCACGGTACTCGTCGATGTTGCCGAGGGTGAGCGGGACGATGGCCTTGAGCTCGAGCGGCTGGTTGGTGAAGGGGCAAACATTGTTGCGGGTCTCGAGGGTCATACGCCAGGTGGCGTAGCCCATGACGTGGCCGTAGGGCGAGATGGCGGGGGCGACAACCTCCTCGAGCATGATGGGGTCGCGGTAGCCAGGCAGTGGGTTAGCCTGGGCGACGACGTCGTCGTCAGCCGGACAGAGACCGCGGAGGCGCTTTGTCGAGTAAAACGACGGCGGCGGCTTCCAAGTGGTGGCAGCCTCGATTTCTGCGAGCTCCATGGCCTCAGCGTCGCCGGCAGCGCGGGGCTTGGGCTTTGCGCGTGACTTGCGGATGCGCTTGGGCGGCGGCGGCGGGCCGGCCGGCTGGGACTCCTCGGCAATGACGGCTTCGGCTGCCTTGGCGTCACGCTTGCGGGCGCGGGCCTTGGCCTTGGCGCGCTTCTTGGCAGCCTTGGCGCGGGTCGAAGAGACAAGCTTGCGCTGGCGCTTGATTTGCTCCTGAACAAGCGATGAGGTCCGCGACGGCGGCGGCTTGGTCAGCTTGGTCGTCACCTTGCGCTTCTTGGTCGGGCGCGGGTTGGCCGGCGGCGGCGATGTCTTCTTGGGCGGTGGCGGCGGAGCGTCGTCCATGGGCGCTGGAACGCTTGCTGGCACCGGGGCGGGGGCGGAGGATGCAGTATCGGTCGTCGGCGGGAGTGCAGAAGGCGACGGCTGGGGTGCAGGCTGCGCAGCAGCGGGCGGGCCGGAAGCCGAGGGGTCAGACTGCGGGGCAGGCGCTTCGGGCGCGGGCGGCTGGGCGGACGGGGTCTGGGTGTTGTCGCGCTTCCGTTTCTTGGCGCCCTTTTTGGGCTCCTTGTCAGTAGCGTCGTCCTTGGCGGCGTTGGACTCGGCGCTGCCCTTGGACTTCATGGCGGCCCGTTGACGGGCGCCGACTCGCGGATGGACGCGGAACTTGCCGTTCTCCTCGAGGTAGCGTGCGCGACCGGACTCGTCGACCTTGTAGGTAGGGTCGACGATGACGCCGGCCTCGATCATGCGGCGGTAGTGGCCGGAGCACTGGTAGCCGACCCGGCCGGGGATGCCGATGGAGAGCAGGCCCCAGCGGCCGGGCCCGCCCATTTCCTCGAGGCGCTTGAGGAAGATGGCGTGCTCTTCCTGGGTAAAGGGGCCCTTGCGCGGGGCTTCACCGGGCGCGTTGAAGCGGTAGTAGTACCCGTTGGGGTTGCGGTCGATCATGGCGTAGGCGCGCATGCGGGCCTTGGACCAGCCCTCCATGAGCTTGCACACCTCATTGGTGTTTTCCGGCAGCGGAACGGCCTCGCCCTCGCGGACCACCTTGTCTTTGAGCGACGGCAGGGCCTCGGCGACTTTGGCGAGCGCCTTTGGATTGAGCTTGTACTCTGTGGAGCGGAGGCGGGTGGGCGCGACGCGGACCTCGACCTTACCCTCCTTGGCCTCTGCATGGATGCGGGCAATGTCTTCGGCGACCTTGGTTGCCTCCTCACGGGTGCGGATGGTGCGGTAGAAGGGTGCAAACGAGGTAAAGGTGGACTTGGGCTTGGGCTTGGGCTTGGCCTTTGACTTGCGCGAGGTGGAGCCGGTGGACCAGGCGAAGGAGCCGGAAGCCGGGTTTGCGCGGCGGACGGCGGCCATGCCGTGGATGCAAAACGACTGATAGCCTGCGCACGAGGTATCCTCCTCCGGGTGGAGCGTGCCCGGCGGACGACGGAACGACTCGGAGGTCTTTGAGGTGGCGACGGCCTCGCGGACCTTGGCGAGGAACGAGCCAAGGGCGGCCGAGGGCGAGGCGAGCTTGAGCAGGGTCTCGTCGACGTCGCCGTCACACTGGTCGAGGGCGGCACCGGCCTCGTCGCGGGTGAGGTGCGGGAAGAGGGCGGTGACATTGGAGACTTGGCGGGCGCGGCGCGAGGCCTCCAGCTTGGCCATCTGGTCGCGGTAAGCGGCGAGGCGCTTGTCCATCTCTGCAGCTTCTGCGCCCGAGAGGTCTCCAAAGGCGTCGTCGCGGCGGGCTGCGGCGTCTGCGGTGGCGGACGACGATGCGCCGTTGAGGAGGTGCGGAGCAGTCGGCGGCGGCGGCGTCGCATCATCTTCGGCATCATCGGCGGCTGGGGCAGCTGGCGGGGACTGCTCGTCGCGAGCGCGGCGGAGTGAGGCCAGCAGCGCGCGCTCGTCCGCCTCGGAGCGATCGGAGCCCAGGAGGCCGGCACCCTTGAGTGCGCCACGAAGGTGCGAGTTGGGCTCGGGGACCGGCGAGCGCGGGCCGGGCTTGGGCCCGGCATGCGAGCGGGCGGGCGACTTGGAGGCAGCGGCAACGGCGAAAAAAGTGCCGAGCAGCGAGGACTGAGCCATGGGCGACGGCGACGCCGGGCGGAAGGCCTCAGTGTAGAAGCGCGACATGGTGTTGGGCAGCGAGTAGTGGAGCGGACGGGTAGCCTTGAGGAGGGCAGCGAGCCAAGACTGCTGGAACGGGTGGAGGATGGAGGCCGGCGATGGCGCCTCGGTGTCTTGCTGCGACTCAGGGAGCCACTTGTTGAGGTTTGCCGGCGACATGGCCATGAGCTTCTTGCGCTTGCCCTTGACCGAGGTACAGAAGAGGTGCGGAACGAGGAGGTAGTTGGAGGGCACGCCTGCAGGGACAAAAGCCGGTGGCCAAGCAAGCGGCGGAGCGAGATTGACAGCAACGCCACGGATGACGGCAGCGGTGTCGATGGTGTCGACATGGTCCGAGTAGGCAAAGGGCAGGGCGCCGCGGCGGACCGACTTGAAGGCATTGGTCACAGCGCGAGACTTGGGCAAGTCGGCTTGCGCATAGCACCAGACAACCTCGACCTGGGTAGGCACCTCGCTTGGCCATTGGTAGCTCTCTGCCTGACCTGCAGCCTCTGCTGTGGCCAGACCATTCGACGCCGCCACAAGGTCGGCCACCTTGACGGCCGACACCAGCTGCGCCACAAACTCGGCATGCGCGGGGCCCTGCACAACCATAAACTGTCCTGCGTCGTGCTCTCGGCACCCGGCCTCCCACGTGCATACGCTTGCCATATGTGGGTGGACGTAGTCGAGTGTGACCGCGGGCGGCGAGCTTGGGAAGGGGAAGGTGGGCTGGCGGAGGTGCCTGTTTTTGGCGCGAAAGCCGTCAACGACGGGTGGGACATTCGCGCGTTTTTTTTCCGCCTTTGCACCGACGGGTGGCCGCCGAACCGGCGGCGAGTCGTCGCATGGGCACATTGAGGTTGTCGCCGGCTGTTCGTCGCAGATATGCGAGAGTAACTCTTCTCTTCCTCCAATCATGTCTTCTGGTCGCAACGCATCCTGCACCCTCGTCGGCGACGGCGTCACTGGCTCCATCTCGTTCGCTCAGGAGAACGCTGGTACGTAGTCCACATAAGTATTGCGTTGCATGCATGAACTTTCCATATTCAAGCTGTCTTGGGGTGTGGACAAGGAGGACGGGGAGGACGGGAGGAGGTGGTGGTGGTGGTGGGAGAGGGTGGCAAAGAACAAGTTTTTGGTCGCGTCGCGGCACGTGACGGACAGCGAGTTTGTCCACGCCCCCCTCCCCCAAAGCATCACACGGCTGGGAGTGGTACAGTGGCGGCAAAGTGTGAGTGTTACTTTGTGTGTTCTCTATCATGTGGCTTGGTTGGTGGCATGGCGAGCAGTTCCATGTGTGTGGTAGGCTCGAGGATGACGTGCGGCAGCCGTGTCGCGGGTGGCACCACGTCAGGTCGCGCTGGCAGGTGGTGTCGTCATTGTCGGGTTGGCGACAGCTCACAGGCTTGCGTGCGGCTGTAGACTCACATGCCGAGGTGGGCGAGACGCAGATGCACCCACTACTGTGACTGTGGAGATCACCGGGCTCACCCCGGGCAACCATGGCTTCCACATCCACCAGTACGGCGACCTCACCGAGGGCTGCAAGTCGACGGCCGGCCACTTCAACCCGTTCGGCAAGACCCACGGCGCACCGTCTGACGACGAGCGTCATGTGGGCGACCTCGGCAACGTCACCGCCGGTGACGATGGCTCGGTCTCGACCTCGATCACCGACGCGCAGGTCACGCTCTTTGGCGAGCACTCGGTTGTTGGCCGCGCCATCGTCGTCCATGCTGGCGAGGATGACCTCGGCAAGGGCGGCCACGACGATTCGCTGACCACCGGTCATGCCGGCGGCCGCGTCGCCTGCGGTGTCATCGGCCTCACCGCCTGACTACCACGCTCGCGGCTGTGACCACCCACTGTGGTCCTGTCTGATGCTTTGTTCGCAAACATGGACCATGATGGCGGAGGAGGTGGTGGAGGAGGTGGTGGAGAAGGAATAGGTGGAGGAATAGGTGGAGGAGGAATGGGTGGAGGAATAGGTAGAGGAGGAATAGGTGGAGGAATAGGTGGAGGAGGAATAGGTGGAGGAGGAACAGGTGGAGGAGGAGGTGGTGGTTGAAGAGGTACGTGATGATAGCGCTTGCGGGTTGGGGCGGCCCATGCCCCCCCCCGCCCTTTCCATGCCCATGATTCCCCCTGCCCGTGCCCATGATCCCCCTGCCCATGCGCTCATAAACAATTGTCTCCCCTCCCTCCGACATGCCAGTAGTTTCAACCCCCCCCCCCTACCATTCTTTCCATCGTCACTCATACCCATACCCTCCCCTCACCCCACCCCACCCCACCCCACCCCACCCCCACCTCCATACACACACTGCCACCATACCAACGATGGTGTACACAGCGCAGTTTGAACGAGTGGGAAGCCATCATGTGGTGACGGTCTCGGCCTCGTCGCCCACCCTGCTCGGCCGAGGCACCGCGTGCGGCATCAGCGACAAGAAGGTGTCGAGGAAGCAGGCATCCGCTGTCCTGGATGCCACATCAGGCAAGGTCACCGTCACCATCCTTGGTCTCAATCCCTCAGCTCTGGCTCTCGCCGGTTCCGAAGACTACAAGCTGCTCTCCAGGAATGGCTCGTACGTCATGAACGATGGCGACTCGCTCCGCCTACTCCCGGCAGAGCACGGCGACTATGTCTTCAAGCTCGTGGTCCAGGAGATCAAGCCCGCTGCTGCTGCGGCTGCTGCCATTGCCACCACCACCACAGCTACGACCGCATCGACGACCACTTCCACTGCTTCCGCTGCTTCGATCGCGCCAGTAGAGGCCCCAGCCGCGCCCACACCCGCATCGCGGTTCGACGCCTTTCTGCAGCAGATGGAGGCCGAGGAGAAAGAGGCAGGCGGGGCGGGAGAGAGCGGAGGTGCCGGTGGAGAGGGAGAGGCCGAGGCAGAGCCTGGTATCGATGTGCTGTTCTCGTTTGACACCACAGGCTCGATGTACGAGTGCTTGGATCTGATCCGGGCCAAGGTTGACGAGGTCATTACCAAGGTGGCATCAGACATGGACGTGCGGGTGGCGATCATTGCCCACGGCGACTTTTACGACATTGGCAAGACTTACCTCATCAAGTCGCTCGACTTTACCTCTGAGCTCGACAAGATCAAGAACTTTCTGGCGGGCATCGAGCAGACGCACGGCGGCGATGGGCCCGAGGCGTACGAGCTTGTCCTCCGCGAGGCGCAGCAGTTTTCATGGGCGCAGACCGGTCCAAGGCGCTGGTGCTCATCGGCGACGACGTGCCGCACGAGCCGTCGTACACCGACCAGAACATCCGCTGGCGCGACGAGCTCGAGAAGCTCATGGAGGCCGACATCAAGATCTACGCCGTTCAGGCCAACCACAACAAGAAGGCTGCGCCGTTCTACGAGGAGCTTGCTGAAAAGTCGGGCGGCTTTTTGGTCCACCTCTCGCAGCTCGACTGGATTGAGCACATGTTTGTGGCGCTCTGCTACCGCCAGCACTCGCCAGACAAGTTTGAGAACTACCGGCTCGACCTGATCTGGGAGAACAAGCTGACCCACGCGTCACCGCTCAACACCCTGTTCATGGAGATGCAAACGCCGGTCATTAACCGGCTCGACCCGAGCTACACCGGGCATCTGACCCAGGGCTGGTGGGCGCCGGACGAGCATGACCTCGGCACGCCGCGCTACCGCTGGGCGCCGTCGACCCGGACGTGGAAGCGCGATCCCAAGGGTCGCAAGGGCCCACCGCGCAAGCGCAAGCGCTCGCAGGGCGGAAGTGATAGTCCGGCGTCGGCGTCGGCGTCGCGGTCGTCGGCACGGAATAGCTCGCGCGCGCCGGGCGCGTACAACGACTCGTCGGACGATGAAGACTATGCCGTGGCGAGCGGCGACGGCGGGGCTGCCGGAGGCCGGCCGGCCAAGCGCGCCAAGAAGGCGCCCGCCCCTGTTCGCAAGGTCACCAGCGTCGACGCCGTCCGCCGGATGACCAAGAAGGCACAGGTCTCACGCCAGCTCGCGCTCCGTCGGCGCGATCCGCCGCCGGGCTACCCAGACAAGATTGTTGTTGGCGGCGGAGCGAACGACACGCTTCAAGCGATGAAGGACCGGCTGCTGGCAGTCATGGCGCACGAGACGTCGGTCAAGGACGACGAGTGAGCCAGCAGTAAATAAGCCCCCCCCCCCCCCTCCCGCGATGATGATGATGCGGCTGCGAAGAGAAGGTGGTTGCTGCTTTACGGGAGCTCGATGGTGCGGGCTCACTCGGTCTTCTTGCCACTCGCCACGGTCGATGGAGCGACGACCGGCGAGTTTGTGACTCGCCAAGAGACGGTGATGACCGCCACCTCTGCGCCGTCCTCGTTGAGCAGCGGGACCACGACGTCGTAGGTGTGGCTGCCGAGCTCGGTAGGCACGTCCAGCTCGCCGACCGAGGCAGTGATGGTACCGCGGGCCTTGATCTTGAACTCGGCGTTGATAGCCGTGGGAATGATTCGCATGCCTCGCCGCGACTGCTGCAGCATCATCATGGCCAGAGCCGAGGTCAGCTCGCCGAGATTGGTCAGAGCCACAGCATGGAGCGAGTTGAAGGGATTGCGGAGCCAGGGACGATCGATCATGGCCACGGATACGCCATCAGGAGACATGTCGAGAACAAAAGGAGAGATGGAGCCAGTGTACGGCGAGATGAAGCCGCAGAGGCCCGATATAAAGTCCCGACCGCAAGGAACGTTACGAGCGACCTTGAAAAGACGCTCAAACTTGAGTGCAGTTCCAAGACCATGCTGCCATGCCGCGTAGCCAAGCAGCGGCACCGTACACCATGCCCCCACCATGAACCGAACTGCGTTGAGGACGGTGATCGCCACCCGCACAATGCCTCCTGTTCCCCGCATTGTGTCAGCGAGAGGCGTGTGGGATGCAGCTGGGGGAGGGGGGGAGGGGGGGGGCACCCTCGCTCACCCTGGCTACGGGTCGACCACTGGCCGATCGCACCCTCTCTCCTTGCTCACCCTGGCCACGGGTCGACCACTGGCCGATCGCACCCTCTCTCTTCGCTCACCCTGGCTACGGGTCGACCACTGGCCGATCGCACCCTCTCTCCTTGCTCACCCTGGCCACGGGTCGACCACTGGCCGATCGCACCCTCTCTCCTTGCTCACCCTGGCCACGGGTCGACCACTGGCCGATCGCACCCTCTCTCCTTGCTCACCCTGGCCACGGGTCGACCACTGGCCGATCGCACCCTCTCTCCTTGCTCACCCTGGCCACGGGTCGACCACTGGCCGATCGCACCCTTTCTCCTCGCTCACCCTGGCCACGGGTCGACCACTGGCCGATCGCACCCTCTCTCTTCGCTCACCCTGGCCACGGGTCGACCACTGGCCGATCGCACCCTCTCTCCTCGCTCACCTTGGCCACGGGTCGACCACTGGCCGATCGCACCCTCTCTCCTTGCTCACCCTGGCCACGGGTCGACCACTGGCCGATCGCACCCTCTCTCCTCGCTCACCTTGGCCACGGGTCGACCACTGGCCGATCGCACCCTCTCTCCTCGCCCACCCTGGCCACTGATAGGCGAGGGGAGGGAGGGGAGAGTGGTAACCGGGGAGGAGGGGGGTGACATGCTCTCTCTGCCTGTGTGTTGCCTTGCTTCATTCCTGCACAACCGCCGCCATACTATACTTGAGCTCGGTCGTTGCTTGCGCCGTTGCGCTCCAGATTGATCCCGAGCTAAAACCCGAGCTCGAGTCGGAGCCCGAGCCCAAGCCCGTGTCCGCGGTAGACGATCAAAAGTTGGACCACTGAGTACCCTCGAGACCGTCAAACAGATGATCGAGGAAGCGATCGTCGCGAAAAGCGGCCGAGAGGATGATGAGGGGAAGGCAGCAGCGGCAAAAGCCGCGCATCGACGGCATGCAGCCGCAGGAAACCGACTCATGGAAGACACACAGGCGCAGCTTGTGGTCGCAGAGCGCAAACGGCAGGATGCCCGAGAGGTCAACCCGGGTCGAGACCAGCAGCTCGCTTAGCTGGTTGCGGATGGCCGCCGGCGCAAAGCCGAGCTCGAGCAGAGTGTCGTACTGCAGCTTGTACGTGACGCACAGGTTGTATGCGAGCCCGAGTACGCTCGACATGCCAACATAGACCAGGGCCTGCCGCCGCCGGTAGTCGAGCGCGTGCGGGAGGAGTGTGGTGTGCGCCGGATCCGCAGTCGAGTACGACCGCGCCCGGTCGCCGCCGCCCACCCGCGAGCCGCCCAGCGCCACCCGCGAGGCCAGGCCCGACTTCAAGCCGTCGATGGTGAGCCGGCCGACCCACCCAAACTCGCCCTGGTCATCGGCAAGGTCGACCGTGATAAAAGCCTCATCCGTCGGCTTGCCGGCGTCAAGGTCCGAGAGGTAGCGGATGAACCCGTAATTGGCCTCATCGCCGGGCTGCGGACCCCATGCCGCATACCCAGCCAGCCCTGTGCACCACGCCTCGCCGCTCGGCGAGACCGCCGCTGATGAGTCCTCGCTCGCCGTCGGCGAGCCCATCAGCGGCGGCAGGATGCTTGGCATGCCACCGACCCCAGCTCCAGCCGCAGCATGCGGCATCGTCGTCTCCAGCGCCAGCGGCATGCCCGATGCCAGCGCTCCTCCGCCACCACCCACCTCGGTCTTCTTGCTGAGCCGCGGCGCCCCAAATACCGCCGGCACCGCAAGCTGTGGAAAGGCGGTCCCCGTACTCCCGTCGAGCCCGCCAGCAGCCAGATCAAACCCGCCCAAACCCCCGCCGCCTGCCAGGCCCTCGATTCTCCCCGCCACCGGCAAGCTGGCCGACGCCCACGCCGCCGCCGCCGCCGCCGCAGTATCGTCATCACTCCGCCCTTTGCCCGACATCGGCACCACCAGCGGCGGGTGGGTTAAGCCAATACCCGCCTCGCTCGCCATCTCGTCAGGATCCTCCGCCACAACCGCCGCCGCCGCCGCCGACGCCGCAGCCTCGGCTTCGGCCAGCGCCGCCGACGACCGCCGCCGCGACCGCGAGCTCGGCGGCCCGGGTCTTCCTTCCGTTTCTTCCGCCGCGCGCTTGGCGGCCATGACCTCGTGAAAGAGCACCGGGTGGCTCGCCCGCGCCTCGGCGGCCGCCGACGCCGCCTGGTCTGCAGTCAGCCTCGCCGCCGTCGCCCGCGACGTAAGCGTCTTGATTCTGCCTGCCAGCTGCGCATGCGCCGGGTGCTGCGGCGAGACCCGCTCGAGCTTGATCACCGCGGCTTCCAGCGCTTGTGCGGCCTCGCGCTCACGGCTCGCCGTCTCGGCCTCCAGATCGATGGCCCGGTTGATGGCCGCCACCCGCGCCTTGCGCTTGAGCGCCGTACCACTGCCTCTGCTCCCGCCTCCGCTCGCCGCCCCCGCCGACCTCTCGCTCTTGCCTCCGCTCCCGCCGTCCCGCCTCGCCAGGTGCCCACCACCCGCGGCCTTGGACGTCCCCCCGAGCCGGTAGTAGCTGACTGCGCTCTTAGTCTTGACCATGCCCAGCCGATGGTTCTCAATGTGCGGCTTGACCACCCGCCACAGCGGCTGCTTCCGCGGCTCCATCGACCGGTACCGGCCAAACATGATTTTGAACAGGCTGTCGTTGGCCGCCACCGTCGAGTCGATACTTCGCCCATCGGCCGGAGCCATTTCATACAACCGATCGCACAGCGCGTTGACCAGCTCCTCCGACGACATGGCGTTGATCTCTGCCCGCGACGGCGCCGCGCGCTTGCCCCCTGCACCACTCCACGCCACCGCCGCTCCGCCCGCCGCAGCCTGAGCTCCTCGCCCGCCGGAGCTACCTCCCCCACTCACGCTTGGCGCGGTCGGGTCGAGCATGTAGCGGATGGCGTAGCGGTCCTTGGATGACTTGAGGCCAAAGTCCTGCAGGAACGGCATGATGATCTTCCACGGCGCCTCACGCCGGCCGGTCACCTTGCGGTAGCGCGCAAAGAGCGCCTTGAGCTTGGCGTCCTTGGTGAGGTAGACCGAGGTCACCGAGCCGCTCGAAGAGGCCTCGACCAGCTTGCGCAGCTGCGCCAGGATCTGGGTGATGAGCGTGCGTGTCGCGTCCGAGCTCAGCGCCGCCGCCGCCGCATCCTGGACCTCGGCCTCGGTCAGCCCCTTGCCCTCGCTCCCTGTCCCAGCCTCGCTCCCCGATGCGGCACTGCTCGTCGACGTTCGTGCACCCGAGCCCGCCGAGCTCGACCCGTCGGCAGCAACGCTCTTGCGAGAGTACAGGATCCGCGCCGGCGTCTTGCGCATCTGGACGCCGACAGACTCGAGGTGTGGCAGGAGGACGCGCCAGAGAGAGACGCGGTGCGCAGACATGCGCTTGAACCGGACGTACAGCTGGTGGAACCGCGGTCGGTTCGAAATGTCGGCCAGTGCAACCTCGGAGCCGTCGACAGGCGTTAGGTAGTAGACCTGCCGCGCCAATGCCTCCACAAGCTGCGGGCGCGACAAATCCTCTGGCCGCGCGATGTCGAGCTCGGACGAGCCCAGTCTGAACGGGGCCGCCGTTGCCGTCCGCCGGGGGTTGGTCCGGCTACCTGTGCCGGCCGAGCCCGCAGTCGGGCCCGGCTTGGGCGACGGCGGCGACGACGCAGCCGTCACCTGTTGCCGGTCGGCTTCGAGGCTGGCCCAGGCAAGCTCCAGCTCGGCGATGGAGCCCGACCAAACTGCAGCAAACTCACGGTCCGCAGCCTCGGCAGCGGCAGTAAATTTGGCGGCCTTGGCCGCCGCCGCCGCCGCCGCTGTCTGGGCCGAGCCCAGCTCCTTGGACAGCTTCTTAATGCTGTCACGGCACTTGTCGATCTTGCCCTCGGCCGCCTGCAGCGAGGTGTGCTGCGTCCGGAGCCTGCTCCGCGCCCTATCGGCCGCCGCCTTGGCCTCGACCGCTCGCTCGTCCGCTGCTGCCTTGGCCGCCGCTGCCTCTGCAGCCGTCGCCTCCGCTGCCTCCAACTCGGCCTCCAGCACCGCCAACTGCGCCGCCAGCTCGGGATCTCCCACCTTGTTCTCCTTGCTCTCCGCCACACCCATGCTCTCCGCCGCAACCACCACCTTGTCTGCCTCGCCCGCTCCACTCGCTCCGCCCTCATCCTCGGCCAGTGCTCTCTCCATTGCACTACCGCGTCCGTCACCAGCCGCCACCTGATCACCTACCTCATCTCCCACCCGGCCATCACGTTCCACAGGCTCACCAGCATGCCCACCCTCGCTTGCCTCGCCTGCCTTGCCCGCAACTCGAGCATCTCCACCATTTCCGCCGTCTCCACTTTCTCTACTCTCTCCACTCTCTCCGCCAGCATCCCCTTGGCTCACGAGCAGCAAGCCGACCACCTCGGACCGAGCATCCTTCGCCACGCCAGCACCACCCACATCGCCAGCGCCACCAACAGGACGAGTTCCACCAGAACCACCGGAATGTCCTTGGATCGAGTCACCCTCAGCTATCCCGGGAGCTGTACCTCTGGCAGCATCGGCGGAGATGTGGTCAGAGCAGGCAGGCGCGGAATTTTGGTTGTCGGCCTTTGGCGAGAACGTCTCTGGAGCCGACGCGGCGGAGTGGGTAGGCGAGTCAGAAGGGAGATGGCCAGACGCGAGGGGCTCTTGCGGTGAAGAACTTGTGTGAGAAGCGGTAGTTGTGGCGCAGGTGAGAAACGACGAGTCGGCAAGGCTCACGAGCGCGTCGCAGACCTTGGCCATGTCGGCACGGGATCGCTCCGAAGTGGCAAGTGCAGCAGCGACAGCAGCATCCGCCTCTGCCATACGAAGCTCATCATCTTGAAGCTTCCAATGAAGTTGATTGGAAGTACTGGCAAGCTCACCACAGAGCACATTGGCTTGGGACAGTAGTTCATCAAAGCTTGCCTTGTCTTCCATGATCCCCCCTCGCCGCACACCTCCCCGGAGGCAAACAGACAAATGTGTTGTGGCTCCGACTGACCACTGCAGCAGTCAACACGCTGGCCGACCTCCGCCACACCCGCCGGTTGTCATGGGCAAGCGGCAGGGCCGGGGCGCTGGGGGGGGGGGGTTCGCGGGATGGGGGGAGGAAGGAGGGAAGGAAGGACCTTGATCAGTTTGTTGAGAGGACAGAGGGAGGAAGGGGGGGGAAGAGGAGGGGGCGATGCTGCCGTTGGCAACAGCGAGTTAGAGGAGGGCGCAGCCACCCTTCTTCTTGGTCTTGGGCGCCGGCTCGGAGAGGTTGATCTGGCCGACAACGTCGTCGAAGATCTCGTCGATGTTGTAGCGGGTCTTGGCCGAGCACTCCATAAAGGTGCACGACCACTCCTTGGCCTTGGCGTCACCCTGCTCCTTCTCGACGATGCGGTCGTCCTCGAGATCGCACTTGTTGCCGACAAGGACCATGGGCACGGTCTCGGCGTCCTTGACGCGGAGGATCTGCTCGTGGATGTCGTTGAGGTCGTTGAAGGAGGGGGGGGCGATTAGAGGAGGGCGCAGCCGCCCTTCTTCTTGGTCTTGGGCGCCGGCTCAGAGAGGTTGATCTGGCCGACCACGTCGTCGAAGATCTCGTCAATGTTGTAGCGGGTCTTGGCCGAGCACTCCATAAAGGTGCACGACCACTCCTTGGCCTTGGCGTCACCCTGCTCCTTCTCGACGATGCGGTCGTCCTCGAGATCGCACTTGTTGCCGACGAGAACCATGGGCACGGTCTCGGCGTCCTTGACGCGGAGGATCTGCTCGTGGATGTCGTTGAGGTCGTTGAAGGTGGCCATGGCGGTGATGGAGTAGACGAGGATGAAGCCCTGTCCGTTCTTCATGTACAGGTCACGCATGGCGGTAAACTGCTCGGTACCGGCCGTGTCGAGAATCTCGAGCAGGCACTGCTGGCCGTCGATCTCGGTCTGCTTGCGGTACGAGTCCTCGATGGTCGGGTCGTACTTGTCGACGAACTGTGTGTGGAGGGGGGGGAAGGTGAGTCTGTGCGTTGCAGCAAGCCAAGGGTTTGCACGGCGACGAAAATGCGGTGGCAAAGCGGTGGTGGGCAGGTGGGGAAGAGCGGGGGCAATACGGAGGGGAGAGGGAGGGAGGGGGGGAGGGAGGGGCATGTGCAGGATGACAGGCAAGGAGTAGTAGGGCGGGTGGGGGCAGAGGAGGGGCAGGGTTGGAAGGGGCAGGGGGGAGGGTGGCTCTGTTTCAGCCCCCGTTTGGGGGGGAAGGGAGCGGGGGGGAGCTGCCTGGTTCGTAACGTACGATGTTCTGGACGAACTGAACGGTGAGGGCCGACTTGCCGACACCACCCGAGCCAAGGACCACAAGCTTGTACTCACGCATTGTATCTATGTGTAGTGTGAGTGGGGAGTTGGAAGGAGCGACAGAAGAGCCGACTGACTGGCTGGGGAGGGGGGAGGGGGGGCAAAAGGTCGTGGAAGGTGTGGCTTGTGTTCGTATTGATCAATGACGGCGGCCACCAAACGCGCGAATTTTGGCAGTCGAGATCGGGAATGGTTGAAAGGGCCCGGGGGGTGCCATGGAGGTTGGAAAAGGGAAGGTGTGGGGGGAGGTACAGGGAGTAGAGGAAGACACTGTGACGGTGGGGGTGGGGGAGGAGTGGGGAGAGGCTCGTTGGGGTGCGCGGGGATGGCGGTCAAGGCCTTGGCGTACAAGTGGGAGAGAACTGTGGCGGTTGCTGCGAGTGGGGGAGATGGGCCGAGCGGGGGGGGGGAGGGAAGCGTGCGCCCATTTGGGGAGGCACGGATTGCAGGTGGCGAGCGAGCCGGCTGGCGTGCTTCGGCAAGGCACGGTCGGTGACGAGAGAGAGGGGCAAGGGGGGGAAAGGATGACGAGAAGACAGGCGGCAAGAGATGGCATCCAAGTAGCGTTTAGGCGGCGATGGGGGCCAAAAGGGGGTGCTTAGCGGTAGCGGCGGAGCGAGAGGGTGTTGTGGCGCTTCCAGACGGCGTGCTTGGAGGGACCGTTGTGGTTGAAGCGGTGGCCCTTGTGCATGCCACGGGCCTTCTTGCCGGCGGCGGTGAGGCCACGGAGCTCGCGGTGCTTGTGGACCGGGTTGCAGATCCAGTTGATGCGCGGGTCGTTGCGGATGACGGTGTGGTGCGGGTCGACAAGGATGACCTCGAAGTACCGGTTGGCAGCGTCCTCGTTGACCCAGTACGAGTTGAGGACGCGGAGGTTGCCACAGCGGCGGCCGGCGCGCTCCTCGGCGACCGAGCGCTTGGAGCGGCGCTGCTTGATCTTGCGCACACCCTGGTTGGTGGGCTTACCGGTCACGGCACCCTTGCGGACACGGCGCTTGCGGTCACCACGCTTGACGCGGACGCGGTAGACAACGTAGCCCTGCTTGGCGCGGTAGCCGAGGCGGCGGGCCTTGTCCGGGCGGGTCGGGCGGGTGAGGCGGTGGACCGACGGCAGCTGGCGGTACTCCCAGCACCGGACACGCTGCAGGAAGCGCAGGGCATCAGACTGCTTCTTCTTCCAGAGCTCTGTTGGTATGAGGAGGGGTATGGCGTGAGCGAGAGGAAAGGAGAGGAGGGGAGGGGAGGGCGGCTATGGGAGCAACGGAGGAGAGGAGGAGGGGAAGGGGAAGGGGGGAGAAAATCATCACATCCTTGGCCAGGGCAGGGTGTGGGAGGGGGAGGGGGGAGGATGGAGGAAGTTGGAGGAGGAGGGCAAGGGAGGAGAAGGAGGACATACCCTCGAGGTACTTGTACGCGCCTGTGATGGTTGGAGTAGGGAGGAAGGGAAAGCGTGAGTGTGGGTGGGAGGTGCAGAGGTGGGGAGGACAGACACAAAATGGGCGGCCATCAACAGGCTGCCCCCGACAGAAGCCAGCCGTGCCCAGCCCAGCATGAGGAGTGCCAGGATGGGGAAGAGCAAGGCAGAGGCAAGAGCAGGGAGGAGATGCAAGTATCCATGTGGCATGGTGGTAGTGGGGGAGGGACGGAGGGGGGAAGGGGGGGACCGAGGGAGGGCGGCAGTAGCAGGAGGCAGCCAGGTTGACGTACCCATGTTTGATTAGGGTTGAGTGTGGTACCGGTTGGTCAAGTTAAATCCCCAACAGTTTCGCCTGAGGTGGTTGGGAGTTGGGGAGATGTGGCGGGTGGGGGGTGGAGTGGTAAAAATTGTACATGCGATGTGTAGGTGCTCGTAGCTTGCTATTCGTCGGTGGACGGCGGTCGGTGGCCGCCACTTGGCGCCAAGTGCGAGGGGCGGGCGCGAGCGTGATGGAGAGCAACGACGGCACCAGTGGGTACGGTGGGAACAGAGTGGGGCTTGCACCACGGGCAGCAAGCTTTGCAACGTTTACGGGACTCAAAGATGGGAATGGGTCGGCCAGCTTGGCAAGCGTCGAGTCGACGGCATCGTTGGGCTCAGCGCAGAGCGTTGAGGCCGCGAGCTCGAGATGGCGACAGAGACGGGCGCAGCGACGAGGCGATGACCGCGATGGCGTGGGCGGGCGGGGTTCTGAGCGGGTGACGTCTAAGATACGGCGACGGCGGGCTAGCAAGGAGCAGAACGGGTCGTCTGCGAGTCTTGGGCGACGATTTGCGCCGCTGGCGTCGGAACCGCCGCCGCCGCCGCCGATGCCAGCGACGGCTGGGGCGAGCGTAGTGCCGCGGCGGACGAGTCGCGGTGTGCCGACGACGGCGATGGGCTTGCTGGCGCGGGGCGAGCTGCTGGTGAGCGACACGGATCCGGTGCATCTCAAGGTGCTGGCGTGCCAGCAGCTTGTGGCGCATCTGCGGTACGACCGGCGGGCCGAGGCGGCGCGTAAGGCGCGGCAGCGACGGACAAGCGCGGCGTCAGGCGGGGCTGAGAGCGTATACTCGGCAGGCGATGAAGGCGATGTGGGAGGGAGAGAGCGCGCGGCGTCGGTGAGCGCGGGAGCGAGCGTGGCCGAGTTTGTGGCGCAAGGGGCTGCTGTTGCGGCGGCGCCGCGGGCGATACTCCCGCTGGACGCGGTGGCGCTCGGGCTGTACCTCACGATGCACCTTGATGCAGTGCTCCGTGTGCCGCTGTCAGTGGATGTGGTGCGGCGGCGGCGCGAGGAGGAGGCGCGGCGATTTCGGGTCCGTGCGCTTCTTGTGCAGTCGCCGTCGGGCGCATGGGGCCTCATCGGAACGTCTGCGGACGACAATGCGGTCAACATGGTGAAGCCGGTCCACTTTCCGTCGCTCTGGGACGTGGTGGCGGAGCTTGCGCTGGAGCTCGAGGCGCAGCCCGGGGAGCCGCTGGTTGTCGAGTCACTCGGCTTTGGGGCGCCAGTCCATCACCTTGCGCGGGAGGCGAGCGCGGTCAAGTGGCGTAAGGCCGTTGTCGACGTCTCGCAGCTCGGATGGCGGTCTGCAGCGCTGGCAGTGGACAAGTACGAGGCCAAGCTGCGACTGGTGGCACTGACGGTCAAGACGGAGAACGACGTGCGGGCGCGGATGGACGAGCGGGCGCGGGCGGCGGTGCTCAACATGTGGGCGAATCCGGAGCGGGCGCGGGAGATGGACAACTACGTGTGGGCGCCGCGCGGGCGCCCTGCCTTTTGCACGCAGGTGGGCCACGGCCTGCGGCGGTCGCAGGCGCAGGCGATTCAGCGGCACGAGCGGGTCCACGAGGCGGTCAAGCCGTCACTCGGCCTTGTCGGCGAGTCGGCCGAGGTGCAGGAGGCGTATGCGTGGAGCCGCGAGCAGATCCGCGACCTGGGCCGGCTGTTTGTGCGCGAGCCGCAGGTCGATGCTGCGGTGGCGGCGGCAGCGGCCGGCCTGCCGAACGAAAAGGCCGTTGTCAAGCGGTTGACGACCGAGGCGAGTCGCAAAGCGATGAAGGTGACGGCTGCGGCGCTGCGGACTGAGCGCATGTCGCAGGCTGAGCACGAGCTGATGCGGCTCAAGGCCGAGCTGCCGCTTGAGAGCGAGCGGCGAGCAGAGCACAACGTGCTTGTGGCCGAGACTTCGTCTGCCCTGGCCAAATTTGGCAACAGCGTGCCTGGCCAACCGAACGAGTACGACATGGACGTGGCGCGGGCGTTTGACGCGGCTTCGTTGCGGTACGAGCCGCACGAGCTGCTCTCGGCGGTGCGGCTGACCGAGTTTGCGGCGGTTCATTCGCAGAGCTCGTGAGAGAGAGAAAGAGCCGGTAGCTACATCCAGGTGTCCTCGAGGAGGCGGCGCGACTTGACGAGCGACTTGAGCCAGGCCTCGGCGTCAGGCCGGGCAAGGCCGCCGGCCGAAGTGGCGACGTCCACGAGCGCATCCTTGACCGCTCCCGGCATTTTCTTGGCCGAGCCGCAGATGTAGACAACGCCGGCGGCGGAGGAGAGCAGGTGCCAGAGAGCAGCCGCGGGCTCGGGCTCGCGCATCCGATCCTGAACGTACGCCTTGGGCACGCCAGAGACCGGGCGCGACCAGGCGTAGAAGACGGTGATGTAGCCAGCAGCTTCCCAGGCGGCAAGCTGGGCGCTGTACAGGTTGTCGGCAGCCGGGTCGCGGTTACCAAAGAAGAGCATGTCTGGAAGGTCCGGGGTTGTGCCAGCCGCGGCATGCGCATCGGCGCGGGCGGCGAGGAAAGCCATAAACGGCGCGATGCCGGTCCCGGGCCCGACGAGGACCATTGGCAGTTGGGGCGGTGGGAGAGAGATGGCGCCGCGCGAGACAAAGACCGGGAGCCGTGCGCCCTGCTCAGCTTGAGCGAGGCAGGCCGAGGCCAGGCCGTGACGCGGAGTCTTGATCTTGGTAGTGTACGAGACGACGGCGAGGGTGATGCTCGCGGTTGTGGCCGGGCTCGCATCCGGCGGCGACGAGATCGAGTAGGCGCGGGGCTGGATGAGCGGCAGCATGTCCAATAGGTAGTGGAGTGGCGGGCGGAGCGACGGAAAGTCAGTAAAGACCTCGACCGGCCAGCGGGCGTCGCGATAGTTGTAATCGTAGAGCTCGTCTTGACCGCCGGGCGAGGCAAACTCGGTGAGGCGCTCGACCTCGCGATCATCGGAGGCAAGCCAGGGGGCGAGCTCAAAAAAGTACCGCCGCGGCGAGGCTGTGATGTCAATGACGTGGGTGAAGAGGTCTCTCAGCGAGACGACGAGGCCGGCGAGCGGAGTGGAGGCCGGAGGCGCATCGGGTGCGGCTTCGATCGAGACGACGGCGTCGAGGTCAAGGTTGAGAAGCTCGGCAAAAGCATCGACCATGGCAGGCGTGTTCGACGGAAGAATGTTGATGACGTCGCCTGGGACGTAGGCCGCTGGTGGGTCGAGAGCAAGCTCGATGTGGCGCACGTCCTGCCAGTGGTCGAGAGCGGTGAGGCGGGCATTGGAGACTACCTTGGCGGAGCCGAGATCCGCGATGCGAAGTGCGGCTCCGCGGACAGCATCGCGCTCGGTGGGCGATGCGCACGGCGCGTCGCGGGGGAGAAGCTCGAGCTGGTAGCGGGGTGGCGGGCAGCCGAGCTCCTGGCGGGTGAGGACAGTGTGACCGGGCGGTAGCGGGTGGCGGAGGAGAAGATGCTCCCAAAGTAGGTCGAGCCAAGGATGCAAGGCACCATCAAGTCCGTGCGGGTGCTGATCATCGCCCTCGCCGCGCGGGATGACCGGGTAGGCGCCGAGCTGGCTCAGGCGCTTGAAGAGCTTGCGGCCGGCAGCGTTGTAGAGGCGATAGCCCGAGTCGCCGAGGGCAAAGACAGCAAACGAGTGACCAGCAAGCGCATTCCGAGGAAGTGACTTGCGAAGCAGTAGGCGCCAGAGCGGTCGGATGCGCGTCGGCATCTCCCCCTGGCCCGTGGTAGCCACCACCCATACCGTCACCCTCGAGTCGGTGGCCAGGCTCGCCGGCTCGACGCCAGCCACGTCCTCCACACTCGCCGTGAGGGCATAGCGGCCAGCTTCACGGCCAATGAACTCGCCCACATCCCGAGCAGTCCCTGTCTCTGTCACATAGATGATGCGAATGGCTCGCTCACTCGCCATCGGTCTTTCCGTCTCTGCGCCGTTACCGTCTGCTTGAGTTGAGTCTGTGTGCCACACGATCCGCTTGATCGGGTAAGGTTGGGCCCATTTGCGCGGAGAGGCGGATGATCGGGTCATGTTGGCTATGTCATGCCGATGGGGCCGAGGCCAGTGGGGTTTGTGGAGAGGGACGGGGCTGGGGGGGGGGGGGGGGGGGGGTGGGGTGGGGGGATGATGGCTGATGGCGGGCTTTTGGGCCTTTATTACTCTGTGTGCGGTGATGTGGTTTGATCGGTGCCTTTGTGATCGTGGTGCTTGTGTGCCTGTATATGTGTGTGTGGGGCGTTGGGCTTGCTACAGAGATCATCTTTGCACCATGCGTGAATTGGACTGCTATCAGTGTGGTGATGTGGGTTTGATCGGTGTGATGAGGGGCATTTCCCTGGGATCGTGGTGTGTGTGTGTGTGCTTGTGTGTGTGCTTGTGTGTGTGCTTGTGTGTGTGTGTGTGTGTGTGTGTGTGTGTGTGTGTGTGTGTGTGTGTGTGTGTGCGTATGCATGTGTGTGTGCGTATGCATGTGCGCGACCTGGCGACCGTCGTTTGCTGACGAATGCGGCAGCTACTCAGTCGGCGACTTGGGAGATGAGCAGTCAGACCGAGCAACAGGAGGAGGTTGAGCATCTGACTCTGGTACTTGTTGCGTGGATTAGCGAGTGTTGGTCATGTCTGCAGACGAGGATGTTGCTGTTCGCGTATGTTGGGCCAGTGGGTGAGCACGGTGGGGGTAGTGGTGGTATGCAGAGCCCCATGTTGGTCGCTGGGTTTGGTGGAGGTGGTTGTCAAGTGGTCTCATCATGGTGGGCGTGGAAACGATGGATGTGGGCGGTGGGCGTACGATTGGACTGTGCGGTGGCGGGTGATGGTGGGCATACGATTGGACTGTGCCGTGGCGGGTGATGGTGGGCGTACGATTGGACTGTGCGGTGGCGGGTGATGGTGGGCGTACGATTGGACTGTGCGGTGGCGGGTGATGGTGGGCATACGATTGGACTGTGCGGTGGCGGGTGATGGTGGGGTGGCGGGTGATGGTGGGCGTACGATTGGACTGTGCGGTGGCGGACACGGCTACCGCTGCAATCGTACAGTACGAGTTTGCGGTCCAGATGACGTGTGGTGCATGTGTCCAAGCTGTGACAAAGGCGCTGGAGAAGGTGGACGGCATCCAGGAGTCCGAGATCGATCTTGAGGGCCAGGGTGTGACCGTTGTGGCCACTGCTCGCCTGCTCGACCTCCTTGCCGCGCTCGAGTCAACCGGTATGAAGACTGTGGTGCTGGGCATGGGCGGGACCAAGGGCAATCTCGGCGCCGCGGTCGCCATTCTCAAGTCAGACGACCCGAACGTTCACGGCGTGGTCCGGTTTATTCAGCTCGCTGAGAAGGCATGCCTCATCGATGCCACCGTGGCTGGCCTCACCCCGGGCAAGCACGGCTTCCACATCCACGAGTTTGGCGACTGGTCCAACGGCTGCATCAACACCGGCGGGCACTACAACCCGGGCGGGAACGACCACGGCGGGCCCGATGATGACAACCGCCACGCAGGTGACCTCGGAAACATTGAAGCCGGCGCCGATGGCGTCGCCGTCTTCCGCACCGTTGACAGAGTCCTCAATGTGTGGGACATCATCGGCCGTGGTATCGTGGTCCACGCCGGCGAGGACGACCTCGGCCGCGGCGGCGTGCCCGAGTCCAAGACCACTGGCAACGCCGGCGGCCGCGTCGCGTGCGGCACCATCGCTCGCTCTGCCGGCGTATTCGAGAACACAAAGCGCATCTGCAAGTGCAACGGGACCACCATCTGGGAGGAGGATGACCTGCGCTTTGCCTGACCATGCACGAGCCGATGTGCTGCTGTGTCTGTTTGTTTGCAGAGGCGTAAAGAACGGCTACTCGTATCCTGGGTTCGGCGCCGTGAACACGTAGCCTGCGGCAGACGGCTTGTCGCCGACCTCCTGCCCAGCCGCCACCACATACACCGTCTCCTGCACAACATCGATGTCAACCCAGCCAAAGGCAACCGGGAGCTGCGACGTCGCTTGCAGCGGGCTCGTCACATTGATGGCGTCAAAGACAACCAGCGAAGAATCGCTCGTCCCGGAGCCTGGCGCCACGCCCGTCGCCAGCACCGCCCAATTGAGTTCAAACGCAACGCGCGGCTCCGCAGCGGACGTCGAGTCGGCGCTCGGTGCCTGTGCCCACGTCAGGAACTGCTTGCCTGACAGCATCGAGTAGACGTCAAAGTGCAGCGCAATAACGTCACCGCTGGACGCGGTCCCACTCCATGCAAGGCCAATGAGGCAGCCGTCCGGTCCGGCCACGCTCCAGGCAGCCATCGCACCGCCGTTGACCGACATCGCCGCGTCGGCCAGCGACCACGTCACGCCTGCCGTGGCCGGCGCGCTCCACTGCTGCACCACCGCGTAGCTGGTGCCGTTCCACTTGCGCAGCACGGCGGTCGCATCACCGCTGATGAGAAAGATGCCCATCGGGCAAAGCCGCGCAAAGTTGGAGCCATCGGTAGTGAGAATCGGCGGGACAACAAGCGTCCCGTTGCGGGCGACGATCCGGATGGCGGTCGGCGTGGCCACCGAGCACCGCGCGCCGTCGCGTGAGCACGACACCGAGTTGATCTCGCCTGCGCCCGGGTAGCTGCTACTCCACAGCACCTTTCCGGTTTGCCCTCCCAGTGCCACTGCCGTTGGCGTTCCGTCGGCCGACCAGTAAGCCGCCACCACCGTCGAGCCGTCGTCCGAGAACGCCAACAGCGGATCCGCCGCATCGCCGAGCACACATCCCTTGATCTCGTACTTCCACATCGGCTTGTCGCCCTGTCCAAAGCCGCGGAAGGTACAAGTCTTGGCCCCGCCATCACGCAATCCCTCGATCGTCACCGTCACCACCTTGCCCACCGGCGCCGCGTCATATCGCGCAGCCATGGCAAGCATCAGCGTGGGCGTGCCTGACTCGAGCCATGTCGACTCGTGAGCCCAATTAATCGATCCCGAAGTAGGAGTCATCTCGTACTCCACATTGATCAAAAGTCGCTCTGCCGGACCTAGACCGGAAAAACCCACCCATGGCCCTTCCCGCTCGCAGCACGCGAGGTCAGCGTCGCGCCCGTCACCGTGTCGCCCGCCTCCACGAGAGCCACCACAGGTGTCATTGCTGCATGGGCCACACCGGTGAGGTAAGCACATGCAAGGAGAGCAAGCAGCATACAAGTAGAAGGATACATGGTGCAGGTGGTGGGAGGGGTGTGGAGTGGTGGGCCATGGTGGGTGTGGGCTGCGGCCGCCTCTACCTGCATCCATCTGCACTAGCTGCTGATCATGTCATCGCCCGCATCGGTTGCTGGTACTTGGGATCGGCTGCTGTCGCTTGCAGCACCATGCGCCTGCTACCGTTGCCCGCATCGGCCGCCTTCTACCTGCATCCATCCGCACCAGCTGCTGATCATGTCATCGCCCGCATCGGTTGCTGGTACTTGGGATCGGCTGCTGTCGCTTGCAGCACCATGCGCCTGCTACCGTTGCCCGCATCGGCCGCCTTCTACCTGCATCCATCCGCACCAGCTGCTGATCATGTCATCGCCCGCATCGGTTGCTGGTACTTGGGATCGGCTGCTGTCGCTTGCAGCACCATGCGCCTGCTACCGTTGCCCGCATCGGCCGCCTTCTACCTGCATCCATCCGCACCAGCTGCTGATCATGTCATCGCCCGCATCGGTTGCTGGTACTTTGGATCGGCTGCTGTCGCTTGCAGCACCATGCGCCTGCTACCGTTGCCCGCATCGGCCGCCTTCTACCTGCATCCATCCGCACCAGCTGCTGATCATGTCATCGCCCGCATCGGTTGCTGGTACTTGGGATCGGCTGCTGTCGCTTGCAGCACCATGCGCCTGCTACCGTTGCCCGCATCGGCCGCCTTCTACCTGCATCCATCTGCATCAGTTGCAGATCATGCCATCACCCGCGTCGCCTCTGTCCGTCAGCTGTCCACATCAGCTACACAACTTCTGTCGCTCGTATTGACCGTCATCAGCATCAGCCACATCGCCCGCCTCCAGAGGGGTGCCCCCCCCTCCTCTCCCCGTTGGCGCACCTGTCGGTCATGGCGCACGGTTGCCGCCCGTTGGCTGGCAGAAGAGGACAACGTGGAGGAGACCACCCCACCACCCAACCACAAGCCATACACCTAGAGGTTGTTTGTGGAGGAGAATGGACGCACTTGACGCGCTGCTCGAAGCGTATGACATCCCTACCGAGGCCACCACTGACGACGAGCTCGCTGCTGTTGCTGCCGCCAACTCGGAGATGGATTTGACTCGCTTTGCTTCCGTCAGCTCGGCCAAGATCAGCTACGCGACCGAGTACGGCCAGAGTATCACCAAGCTAGTGGTGGTGGACACCGCGCTGACCGATGCCGATCTGGCCCCACTCATCGACCTGCTGCCGGCGCTCAAAGAAGTCGATCTGAGTCAATCGGCGAAGCTGACTGATGTGACCCTCATTGCTCTCGCGCAGACCTCGCCAGGCATCACCAAGCTCACCCTCAACGCTTGCACAGGCTTCACTGACGCCGGCATCATGGTCGCGGCGCTGACTCTCAACTCGCTCACGGATCTGTCGCTCACAGCCTGCACCAAGCTCACCGATCAGGCCCTGGAGGCGCTCTCGCAGGCTCCGTGCATCGCGTCGCTTACCTCGCTCTCGCTTGCGTACTCAACAAGCTACACCTCCGACACCCTTGAGGCGCTGCTGAGCGAGACTGCAGCACTTGAATCGCTCAATCTGGCGCTCGTCGCCTGTGTCCGCAACGAATCGCTCAAGGTGGTGGCCGACCGTGCGCCTCGGCTCCGCGACCTCAACATCGCTTCATGCCTCTTGATTGACGACGACGGCATTGCCGAGCTCTGCGGCGGCGACGACGATGACGCTGAGGGCATAGGGCCGACGCTGACGACTCTCAACTGTGCCTCACTCCCGCTCGTCACCGACTTTGGCCTCTCGCTCCTCGCCGACTACTTTCCCGCCCTCCGCGACCTCAATCTCCAGCTCTGCGAGGGCATCACCCAGCTTGGGGCCGAGAACCTCTACAACTCGGCGCCGCACATCGCCAAGCTCACGTTCTGAGCCAAGTTGCACCCGTCGCCACACAGGCCGAGCAGCGCGCCATCTCTAGCCGTCAGCCATCGTGGTCACTCGTCTCTCACGAGTAACACACCCTTCATCCACATCCCTACAGATATCATGCTGTGCATGGCCGTGGCCATGGCCATCATCACTCCCAATTTGGCTATCACATCGGCCGACGAGTGAGCGAGTGACCAGCCGGGGGCGTCAGTCCCGAGTCGGCGACCACCTGTCCCTTCCCGCCCGCCAGCAGCCAGCCACCGTCAGACGACACGGCGTTCATGGGCGAAGCTACGGAGAACCTGTGGGAGAAAATCCTTGCCGAGTACGCACATGTGTGCATGGGTATAATGATGAGGAAATGTGGTGTGTAGTATGACTCACAACTTGTTCTGTCTTTCTATATGGGTGTGCGGGTGCGGGGGGCGGGGGGGGCGACGGTCGGGCACCCGTGGCGGTGGTGGTGGGACGGCGGGCGCGGGGCGGGTGGGCGACGACAGCGCACGGAGTGTGGACGGTGGCAGCGGTGGAGGAAATGGTGCGACAGAGGATGGTGAGAGTGGACGGAGTCTGATTGTGCTGGGCAATGAGCTGTGTGGCAAGACGAGTTTGATTGCTCGGCTGAAGGCGGTCGACTTTGACCTGCTCCCCAACTGTCTCGCCCTCGACTACACGTACATGGACATGGTGACCGAGGATGAGGACGAGTACGTCCCGCTGGGCAAGGTCAATGTGTGGCAGTTGTCGGGCAACCCGCACTTTGGCGCACTCCTCGACGTGGCTCTCAAGGCCGCCGGCTCGCTCGAGTCGACTGCGTTTTTCGTCTGCCTTGCCATGGACACGCCGTGGACCATGGCCGCGGCGCTCGACCGCTGGCTCGGCCTGGTGGCCAAGGTCGTCGAGCGGGCCGAAGAGGCTGAGCTCAACGCCGAGGGCGCAGTCCGTGCTGCGGTCGAGGCGCGGCATGCCGAGCGGCGGCGCGCGATGGAGGAGTCGTGGCGCCGGTACACCGACGGCGGCGAGGGCACGAGCGGCGACGGCGGCGACGGCGGCGCAAGCAGCGCAAGTGGGCCTGGCGAGGGCGACGGCGGCGAGGGTGGCGTGGGCGAGGAAGTGCTCATGCCGCTGACCGAGGGCGCGCTGGAGATCAACCTTGGGGTGCGGATTGTGATTGTGGTGTGCAAGGCCGACATGGTCAACGAGCTGCAGTCTGCGTACGCGTACAAAGATGCACACTTTGACTACATCCAGCAGACGCTGCGCAAGCGGGCGCTCGCGCACGGAGCAGCACTCTTCTACACTTCGGCGGCGCAGGAGGGCAACACCAAGGAGCTGATGGCGTATCTGGAGCACAGCTTTTACGGCCTGCCGTTTAAGGCGGCGGCGCAGGTGGTGGAGAAGGAGTCGGTGCTGGTGCCGGCTGGCTGGGACTCGCTGACCAAGATCGATGTGCTCTCTGAGTCTTCGCGAGTCCTCACCCGCAATAAGGTCGACGACGACGGCGCCGAGCCGCCGTTCGAGTCGGTCATCAAGGAGCCGTTTGCCGTGCTGGCGCCGGTGGGCGGCGCCGTCGACGCGGCCGACGCCGTCGAGGCCGAGGACGACCAGGCCTTCCTGCAACGCTTCCGCGAGTTTATCGATTCCGACCCGTCGGGCGACGCCGACGCACAGCCGATTGCCAAGGGCATCAACGACTTGCTGGCGGCCGGCAAGAAGAAGACGCCGGTGGCGGCGCTGGCGGCCGAGCCCGGACCCGGGCGCCGGCCCTCGCTCGAAAACATTCTCGCAGGCGCCAAAGCGGCCAAGGCCGACACGCCGTCCGGCGGCGACACCGGCAGCGCTGGTTCCGAGGACGTGCTCAACTCGTTCTTCCACTCGCTGCTCAACAAGGGCGGCGCCGCGTCCGCCGACCAGCGCTCCGACGTCAAGAAGGCGCTCTCCAAAGAGTAGCCGGGTGGGCGAGTCTATGTCGAGGACAGCAGTAAAGTGATGATGCTTGTCAGCAAGCAGCTACTCATACTCGTCTACTCATACTCGTCGTCGTCGTCGGCCACAAACTCGTACTCGTACGAGTCGTCGAGACCCGACGCATCCTGAGGCACACCGGTGACAAGCTCGCGGCGGCGGCGGGCTTGGGCGTCTGCAACTGCGCGAGCTTCATCGTCCATCAAGTAGTAGAACAGCCCATGTCCCCGCTTGTAGTCGAGAGCCAGACCGACGGCAACAATGGCAGCGATGACCGCGGCGAGCTTCTTGCCCTTCAGATCATAATCGCCGACAAGATCAAACTTGATGAACTTGACCAGAGCCGAGTCCTCCTTGTTGTACGGGATGTACCACTCCGGCTGCTTGGACGTCACCTCTTTGCTCCTGAGATTGACGTAGATGAATTCGCCTGTCGACTTGTCCACCCTTTGCTGCCACTCTTCCACCTGCTTGTTGGCTGCTGCTCCTCCGCTCGCCGCCTGCCCGCCGCCACCCGCCGCCGGCCCACCACCACCAGCTTCACCCGTCCTACCAGCCCCAGCCCCCGCACCAGAGCTCGAGGACCACCGTCCGCACACCATAGCAAGCCGACTCGCACCATTCATTCCGCCCATGGCTGCACGAGCCACGCCACCCACACTCCGAAGCATGGCTGGAGTCGAGTGCCCGCGCCGCGCCGGCTTGCCTTCGCTCTCGTGTCGCGTTCCGCCCTCTGATTCACTCGGTCGTGCCGCACCCCGCGGGCGGGCTGATCTCGACTAGTGCAGCACTCTGTGACCATTGGATCTTGTATCTGCTTGGATTGAGGAGTAGCGGATGGTACACTGGACAGGCTTGGCTCGCCTTTCGCCTGGTTCCGGTTCTAACTCCGGTCCGTGACGAGCTCATACTGCACTGCGCGGCGTGTTGCCGGCGGACTGTACTGGGCCAGCGTGGCGATCGGATGCAGATGCTGTTGCATCAAGAGGTACGCGATGAGTAGTGTTAGCGAGGTAGAGGGAGGCTTAGCAGAGAGATCATCTCGCACGCGCTGCGCGACAGCTGGAATCAAGTATCACATCAGATACAGAAGTGTTGATGGCGATGATGGCGCTGATGGCGATGGTGGCGATAGTTGCCTTGGGAAGGACATGGTGATCAGAGCGCTGACCGTTTGATCGGGCGAGGCGAGGCACCCCCAATTAACCGAGTCGCCAGCATAGCTGGTCGAGCTACCAGTACATCTGGCCGACCTACCACCAGCACAGCTGGCCGACCTACCACCAGCACAGCTGGCCGAGCCACTGACAGCCGGAGCCAGAGCCCAGCGACCACTGCACTCTGACTGGACGGAACAGCTGGGAGTATGTCATATGGTATGTCCAACACGTGGTGTACATGAGGTGTACATGTGACAGTGTGTGTGTGTGTGTGTGTGTGTGTGTATGTGTGTGTGTGTGTGTGTAGCTGGTGTCTTCACGCTGTGTCACGGAGGTG